ACTATTGGTCAAGTAATTGATTATTTTCGACGCGAGTATCCTACAATTACTGCGGAAAAGTCACAATTAATATTTCATTCTCTGACCCAGGGTAATGATCCAGTAAATCGTTTTTATTCGAAATTAAAAAGATTGATTAAGCAAGCTTATCCTGCATTAGCAGAAGCGAATCAGGAGGAGTTAGTTAGACAGCAATTCTTTAAGGGAATCTCACATGATAATAAATTAGAAATAACTCGTATTGGTCTTGAACATCCGATTTCTACCTTAATACGTAAATTAGAAGAAATTGAAAGACGGAAGGCGGAATTGATGTTGGGCGAATATAACCCTAAATCTCATCCTGTCACTTCTTACACGCAAGATGTGCATACTTCCGTGCATAATACAAGTGATGCTGGCATGAGTAAAAGCGAAGTTGAAAACCTGGTAAAATCCATGATAAGCTCCACTGAAAGCCCACTTCTTCAGAATATCACAGATCTTATTTCCAAAGGCGTATTAGAAAATATTTCTGGCTTTTTTTCAAAGAAAAATACAGAAAACAATTCAGTCGTGCGCCAGAAAAATATTGAACAAGATTCTGATGAGGAACTTTCTAATCGTATGAGTAAGTTATCGATAAATAAAGCCATATCTAGACAGGTCAAGAAGGAACTTAAGAAAACATCCCAGCGCAGATGCTCAAATTGTAACAGGACCGGGCATAATTCTCGCAAGTGTACTCGTAAGAGAAGGTCTAAGAATAGATCCAAAAAGAGCGGTAATATCAATAAGGTTGTTGTGGAGTCCGACTCTAGTTCACATACAGACTCCTCTGATAACGATTCGTCAGATAATAACTCCGATTCTGAGGAAAGCTCATCTGAATCTGAAGCTGATATCAATGTCAATATCACGCATTTAAAAAAAAAGTAAAGAATAGTTCAGCAATACCGCCAAAAAATAAGTCAAAGTGGTTACACAAGAGAAATTCGAATAAATTATCTTCTAAGAAGTCCAAATCACGCAAAATGAAAAAAGACGCATCTACTTCCGCCGTACAGCCCAATAAATTAATTACCTTTGAACAGAATATTCGTCAAATTTTATTAGGCATGCTCGAAAAGGTCTTACTCCCGCATCAGTTAGAAAAACTTAAATCTGAGGATAAATGCTTATCTACGCCAGATTTTATAAATTATCGAGAACCAGTCCCAGAAATACCTGATTCAGATGGAGAAGAAGAGATATTGAATGATCCTATGGAAATCGATTTTGTTCAAAGAAAGGATTCCGCTACAGATATTGCTACTGTGAAATGTAAAATCAACCGCCTAGTTATTCCCGCAGGCGGAATTGATTCACTCGCTAATTTCCCTATTATGACTGAAGATATTGCTAAGCGTGCGAAATTGAAAATAAATCCAGATGAAAAACATAAGCTTAGTGGAGTTGCTACTCATACCGAATCAATTGGAACCGTACATAATGTACCAGTAACCTTTGCTCCAGGTTGTGTTATACATTCTGACTTTGCAGTGGTTAGATATCGCAAACCAATGTTAATTTTACCTAACCCATTACTCGACAAATATGATTATGATTTACTCGCATCAAAACGGTTATTGAAACTTGTATGTAATGGTAAGGAACATTTTATTCCAATTAATATGCATGAGGTCAAAAACAAACTCGAAGTAAATTGTGCTACCACATCTCAGGATGATAAGCCTTTGGTATCCGATCAACTTTCTCAGCGATACCACCAAGAGACGGATAGTAATAAGGATAACAGTATATCATTCGAAAAGTGGTGTGCTCCTGCGGGTCTTAGCCCAGATTCCAACAATTTATTATTAAAAAAAAACGCATGATGAGCTATGAGGAGTTAGAAAGATCGCTATATGAGGTACTCGAATCCAATGTTAAATTAATCAAACTCAATAAAAAGTTGCGGGTTTGCCGAAGGCAGTCACACAGTGGTTATGAAAACGAATCTGATAACTTAAATGAAAAAAAATACCAATATAGATAGAGGAAGCGAAGATAGATTAATTAGAATTTAAAATTCTTTCTGTTTCAAATGCGGCTTTTTCCATTTCTTTGCGATTCTGCTCGATCAAAACATGTAGGTCACTCAACTCTCCTACTTTTTTTGTTGGTTTATGGGTCGTAGATCGCGATTTTCTATTTTTAACCCGCTTATCCGAAGTAACAATAGAATCTAGATGCAAAGTATCTTTGTTAATTTGATGTGCCGAAAATACTGAACTCTGCTCATTAGAATTTTCAGTTATACGAGCTTGGTTAATATTTGGTAAGTGTGATTCAGGTATAGATAAATGCTGATCTAGGGGTCTTATTGAGGAAGCTGAGCTTCGAGTCTTCGACTCATCTGATATAGACTGATGCCATTCAACCATATGAACTTCCTCCCCCCTCAAAATTTTATAAAAACGACTATTTGTCATAGGATATTTATCTCTTAACTTTTTCAAGATATCGGTTTTGGGTTTTGCATCGCGATATTGCATAATAAATTCATAATCTGCTGGAGATAATGGAAATGCATCGGATCGCATACGTTTAGCCATGTTATTTTTATAAATATATTCGTAATATCAATAATATCAATAATTTATTGAAAAAAAAAATATTTATATTATGTGTAGTACGTATAGTATAAATAAACAGTATGCGTCATATACATAATACATATAGTATTAGTAATTAGTACACATAGTATACATATTACGCATAGTATACATTAGTATCGAGATCTATCTGTATTTTTTTATTATATTATCTTTTATTTGATATGACACATGTGATGGATCGTGAGAAAGAAATACATCGTATCCTCAACTATAACAGTGAGCTGCGGGATAAATACATAAAGCAAGAGGAAAAATTTGATCAGGAGAGAAAGGAGTGGAATCGAGAAAGAAAATGTTGGGACCGGGAGAAAAAGCGGTTGGAACATAGTTTAAAACAGAATACTACTGAGACTCAGAAGATACATTCCTATACACTTAAAGTTGCTGACGAGGCTAAGAGATTGCAGATCGAAAATTCAAATAAAGACATTTCTCTGGCGCAATGCAATGACCGAATTACTATGAAGTCGAGCGAGATAAAATCACTTCAATCTGGAATCAAAACTTTAGAAGAAAAATTAGCCTTAGCTCAAAAAGATTTGTCAAAAAAACATTCCGAAATTTTATCTCTCAAAGACAAACTGGCTAAGTTACAGATTACTACGCAAGAAAATGAGTGCGCTCTGCGCATAAAATCAAGCGAGATAAAATCGCATCAATCTATTATTAAAACGTTGACAGACAAATTAGCTCTAGCTCAAACAGACATATCAAAAAAAGATTCCGAAATTTTGTCTCTTAATTCTGAGCTAAGTGAGTTAAAAACCAAGCTGACGCTGGAAGCCAGTGATATCACTGAAACTCCCGCTGCCGTATGGCCTTCTCAGAAAGAACAGGCAAAGCCTAGAATCTCAGACTCGCCTTTACTCTGCGATGGTACCACTGAGTCTGTAGTTGGTGGAGATGTACAATTAGAAGAAGCAGAGTTTCAAGCCCTCGGCTCATCTGAGTCCCAGGAGAACGCTTCTAATACACGGGATAGCCAAATAGTTGACCCAGATCCCCCTGAATTTAGTCTTCGTTTTTTTCTGGTCGAACGGCCAAAAAAGCCAAGTTTAGAGACTGTGGTACCACTCAAAAGCGGCGAGTTTAAAGATCCATCAATAAAAAGTAGTACAAATGCACCGAGTGTACAGGTCTCAACTGATAAATCGTCCACTTCTTCACCTCCAGCCACACAGAGTCGTACGGCGGTAAATGATTTACGTAAATTTTCTACTGGTTCCACAGTAATAGAAAAGGATAATGTTGACAGCAAGGAGCGGAGTTCTATGCTGTATGGTATAAATAGCTCGACACAAAATATAGAGGAGACGGGATATGACTCACGTACGTCTATTGGAGGGATAGAAGCAATTCCGATTGCTGCGAACTATTTAGGTTTGCTGTTTACTTTTCTTATTCTGTTACTTATCGTGATTATTTTGTTTACGGTTCTGAGGCCTATGTGGGCCGTACGGCTGGAAAATCGAAAAAATAGAAATCGAAGCGCTTTGCGTTCTCCGTCTGAAAAAAAAATATTTACCAAGCAAAGCCACTACATTTGAATTCCAATCATGTAATGAAGCTGCATGAGTGGCCCTGTTAATTATTGCGGTTATGTGATTCGTTATATTGAGACGTACATGAAATATAGGTAAAAAAGTGATCGGCTATGCGATACGTGGGCTAGGTGTTAGGAACTATCTATTTAAACTTGGGATTTATTTATGTACGAAAAAATTTAATTAATATTGTATAAGTATCTTATTGGGGTGTCGCAATTCTAACCAGAATACTTAACAATATGGAATAGCACAGCCAATCAATTCAAGGCGTTAATATATTTCGTAAGCCATTTTTTAGCTTCTTTTTGTGAATATGCGTCAATCTGTTTTTCTTTTTCATCTGAATCTTCGAGTTGCATAATTTTATGTGAAGATGGTGGTTGATATTTCTCGTCTTCATTAATGAACCGCGCACATAATCCCAACACACTTTCTAAATAGTGGTCGATATTTATTTCCATATTCTGCTCTTTTGCGAAATCTGGATATTCCATATAATCACTAACTCTATACGGTATTAATCGACTCTTTTCGTCGCGATAACGCTCACCTTTTACTACTACGTAACTAAAGCGTTCGCCGGGATCTGGGATATTTAATTTTTTTTCTTTCATTCGAGCTATAAAATGCTGGACACGAATATTTTTTTTCTTAGGCTTCCACGTAGCCGTTCCAATAAATTGACTAAAGTCCCATTGTTTATGTTTGGCCTCTCTAAGAGTATCTTCAACAATTTTATGGATTGATCGTGTATTATTTATATCCATAGCTTCCCACATAATTTTTTCGCCGATAAATTTGAAAAGCTGAGACTTGCCTTGTTTTACAGTATCAATCCCTTTTTTAAAGAGATTATCTGGCTTGAAATTGACAATTCCTTCATGTTTTACACCGAAGTATTTTTTTTTGCCAGTAAAGCAAACAGGAAATAATACCCCTTCGTACGCCATTTTAAGAAAAGATGTGCCATTTTTTATCCTAAGATAAGCATTTACTTGATCGCGCAACTTTTTCATCACATCCATAGTAATTTTAACCATTTCAGACCAGTATTCTTCCTTAGAAAGCCGGTTTTCATTAAAAGCTCTATCACATTTTTCATAATACTTATCTGGAGAGGTAAGATATAAAGAATCGGTATCGCCATATTTTATTCCGAAACCTTTTCCGGATACGAATTTAGCAACAAGATTAATATTGTATTGACCCGCAGAAGTGATTCCTCCAGCCAATTCACGAAGAAAGAATGAAGATTTGCTGTTTCCTGCTTCCCCGTAAAAAGTATTCATATATACTTTTAAAGCGAACTGCTTGGAATCTAAACAATTATAATCGAAACATATGGATAAATATTCTAAATTTAAGCTTTCTGGGATTTTTTTACCTTTTTCTTTAACCGAACTTATCATTTTCCTGAGGTGTTCCTTTTTCTTTCCTAATAAGGCAAGTTGCGCTTTAAGATTTACTCTCTTGTTGAATAGATCCTCTAATACAATAGGATATAAGCCCTTCTTCTCGAATTGATTATCATGTCTCACACACCAAGCATGGATAATACGGTCATTAAACGGAAACTCAATCTTATGCAAGTTATTTCTATTTTTTTGTACAATATCCGCCTCGCTATGAGTTAATATCATTTTTTCTGGAGAAAGATTATAAGCCATAATAAGACTGGGATATAAAGATGCAAAATCCAATCCTGTAACAGGCCTCTTCGCCTCAATTCCTTTTTTAGGCGGAAATACGTATGCACCAGGATATTCACCTTTTTCTATATTTTTACACGGTCTCGTACTAAATAGTATATTACGTTTAGTGGCATAAGCTCCCAGAAGATTTCGTACCTTCATTCCATTTGCCCGATAATGTGAATCGAACAAAGATACATAAGCTATAGAAGCAACCTCCCTATAGTCATTAATTACATTCCGCTTAACCATAAGCTCCTGGCAGCGCAATGCATCTATAATGCAATAATGGGCTACGTCACACATATTTTGTACAGTAGAAGGATGTAATTTATTTAGGGAAACACTCTCTTTTGCTTTCGAATAGATTTTCCACATTTTATTGTATGGCATATCCGCTTTACTGTCGAGTCCGCATAATTTTAAATAAAATGCAAGTGAACTTTTTTTATCAACTTCCGCACGAGGGTAGAGTTTCATAAAACATGCACGTACGTCGATTGGTACACAACCCGGTATTTTAAGAAAAGTGGAAATATAATTATCTTCTGGGCCAATTTTGATTATAATCGATTGTATTCTATCGTTTTCTTCCTCATTATTATCGGTGGCGCCTTTTTTGATTTGAAAACTATTTTTAAAGTTTACTCCTATTTTCCCATAATAATTCCATTTTTGAATTTCTTTAGATGGTTTAACGCTTCCCGTCATTTGCTTCCACATCCATTCGAGAAGATTAAGTCTGCAAGCTCTTTCCATGATAAATGGCCAATCATATTCGGAATCGCTAAATCCGAATTGAATATCAGGGATGAAGGCCTTCCAGCACAATGCAAACGCTTTTAGTAAGTTTGTCTGATTTCCACATATAACTGTTATCCATCGTGGGTCTGGTGCAGTTTCAAGGTCGACAAGACAGATTTGTTTTAACGGTCTGGGATCGTCTTTCCAATGCAAAGTCATACAAATCATAAATACGATACTTTCTTCATCATGTATTTCAGCAAATTCACCCAACTCTCGCGACTGCGTCTCTATGTCCCATGTAAGGATAAGCGTACGATCTCTCATGAGTGCTGAAATCGGGAAACGGTCATTTATCATTTTTAGATCTTCTACTAGTCGAAAATCATTTACAGAAACTCGAAAATCGTGTGTATAGTGGGAATGTTTTTTGTATCTATACTTGCTTAGCATAGACCAACCAGAAATCGCAATTCCATTTTCTCTAGCTATTTTACGGTGGAATGAGAACATATCATCTGAAGCAGTTTCGAAATTATTATCTTGGATAGCTTGGAGAGCTTTCTTCCTATCCCCACTACCGAGTGTAAAAATTCGTAAATATGCCTTTTTTTCTATATTATAACCTTGCAATGGGAATGCCTTAATATGTTCTATTTTATAACTGTTTACAGTATTACAGAGAATTTCATCTATTTTTATTTTAGAATCATCCACAGATTCATTATCGGGTACAAGTATATCAAAGAAAATCTGGATCCTGTAAGAGTAACTGCTTTTTGACCATTGATGAGAGCGCCGTAAAGACGTAAAACATAATGATTTTTTTCTCCTATTTTTTCTGATGAACCCTCAAAATCGACAGCCATGAAAGGGATTTCCTCTCGTTTAGCCAAAGCATCATTAAGAATTACAGACAAACCCTCATCATTTTCTGCAATTATATTATCACGAGTTGGTAATCCTGTTAAGTAATTTTCACCAGAATATCGGATAAGTTGACCTTTTTCTAAGTTTTTATTTTCCGAAATCTGTGATTGAGGAAAAGCTTTCGCCCCCCGGTGGTAGAAGGCCCCGTTATTTTCTTCCTCTATTTCTGGCTCGAAATTTTCAGAGTTTTCTGGGCTCTCTGGTCTAAAAAGTGACGCTTCTGACTCTGCTGGCGCGTGATCGATGGTTTCTTGGATTTTTTGGGTACTCATAGTTGGTATAGTCAGGTTGTTTTTGTAATATATTACCCTGATAAAAAAGTTTAAATCGAAAATAATTATTGAATTTTTTCACCTGAGATAATATTATACGGAACCAAGTAAGTTTCAATAAATAATAATCAATGACAGGAACTTATATTTGTCAGTATCTTACTAATGGGGGGAAGATCTGTGGTCGGCCTTGCTATCGGCAAGAAGGATGTGCTATTCATTGGAAAAGACGTCAACGCGTCCCCTGTTTAGAATGTGGTAGACCGACTGCTTCTAAGTATAGCTTATGTAATTTACATGCAGATAAGTGCCATGCTAAAGCCTTTTATTATCGGAATAAGCTATCTAAAATGGTACAGAACGGGCAAACGATAGAGTCGTTGACACGGATCCTTGATGAAACTAAATTGTTGTCCATTGTCCCTAGAAAAAACTTGCCCTAGAAAAAAAATATCGCTGGGGTCGGAAGTAAGACCAGCAATTTAATAATTTTCAGATCATGGAAGCTTTTTTCGAATAGTTGTCCCTAGTAACCCTAGTGGACTTAGCAAAATTTCGAGTTTCTTACTTTTTATTTTTCTTTGTTTATCATACATATGTGTTATATGTATATACATATTATTTATTATATATAGTAGATACCATGGAGTAATGTTTTTTTTTTTAGAATCTTATTTTTCTTAAGGACACTAGGGTTACTAGGGACAAAGATAAAAAAGAAACCAAACAGCTCCAGAAAGTCAAAAAGCCAGTCTTAGTAGTGGCCCTAGTAAAATTTCAACTAGGATCGAGCTAGGGTCAACTAGGGACAAGATAAAAATGGAAGAAGAATACCCTTCTAATGATATGTTTTCGGGTATGTTTTCGGGTATGTTTTCGGATAGGTAACATTAGATTTATTTATAATTATATACCCGTCTTCTTATATATTTAGTCGAAGTTAACCCACTTTTTTACTACACCGTCGTCAAAGTATATAATCGGGTATATGAGCGGGCATGTTTTCGGGTAACATATACCCGATAGCATTTACGTGATATACCTAGCATACATATTTGGTAGCATTAATCGATAGCATAACCAGATAGCATACATATAGCATGTCCGGATTGCATTATTTTTTCTATTAAATATTCTATGCGGTATATATCGTTAAAGAATTTAGCATAGATATGATTGATCTATTTGGTGACGAAGAAGTATACAACGAGGAATATGAAGTTGAAGACTGTCATGTTCACAGGAATTCTTCTATGTGTACACCATGTAAAAAGTGTGGTAAGTTAACTTTTTCTAAATATGACGCATGTATAATGCACGCTGGTAATTATCGATCTCGATATCAATATCAGAAGTGCTTAAAGAAAACCGGGTCCACAATGACGATATATAATTGGATGCATCGTCAGATATATTTTTTTGCCTATGTGAGCCAACGACAGAAATCGGCCATGATTACTAAACCAGCATACATTATGAGTGACGACAAAAATTAGCCACAGTCGTCATTTAAGTGACGTAAAAAATAGAATTACACGTCAAGCCACAATACACACCTTGGTGACTTTCGAATGACGATACAAACACAATATACACATCACGTCTAGGGATATATAATTGCTCAAGTGACTTGAATTTTACGATCTACCCATCACTCGAATGACTTGAATTTTGCAATCTACACGTCATAGATGAGGGGGAATAACCTATACTAAGTGGAAATAACATAATTATGTTATTTCCACTGTACCAATTTTCAGTGAAGTACATAAGCTACTATCATTTGGCTAAATATAAAATAGTCACGCACAGCCAGGGGGGAGCAGTACCCTCGACACCTCGAGGCGTCCCTAAAGATATCGCTCTTCCGGGTCGGTATTTCCCAGCTTTCAGCAGTGACCAACCATATTAACGAAGCTCATCTGTTGTAACATCATCATAACATAAATAAAAAATTGCTATTTGACTGGTCTGGGTATAGTACCTGTGTCTGATAGGTAATGGGTTTTATCAAATGCTTCGCGCGGTAAAACTTCCTTCTGGTGTTATTTAGTGATGGCAGTTCTTCAAAAGTAATAGCTGCGTTTTGAAAAGCAGCTTGTTTGAGAGTGTATTTTTGAATCATATCATGTTACGGGCGCGTCTCTTACAAATGGCAGGTCATGCGTCTGTTATTGTGACACAACTGTATTCTGACCAACGAAAAACTTTGCAATAATTGAGTTCACATGCAAATTTTGCATTGCCCTATATAGATAAAATTTACAAACACAACTTCCGAATTAGGATCAACGTCCCAATTAACCATGTAAAGTCAATTATACATGGACGAGAGGACTTATCAACCACGTGACCAATATGTCAAATACCAAATCGAACATCGCCCTGTTTATTAAAGGATATTTCCCCTTCGATTCTATAGTTGTTAATATTATTCGTAGATTCCCTTACTTGGATACGAACGTTGGACTACGTTACGTATAGGGATTAGGAAGCGCGCATAATTAGTTAATAAGAAACGTCACTGTAGCTTAGCATTCAGTCTTAGTTGATACTGTCGTTGTAGTAAGGGCGGCGATAGCTGAGCTATTGAATCAGATTCCCCTGGCGGCCGAATCGCCTACAGTTCGCTCTCCCATAAATCTCCCTAATTAAATACGCCGACCGCAACAATATCACCTATCTATTATAATATGATTCACAGCAGAAAAAGAAGCAATTGACAATCTATTTAGTTTTTTATTATCCGGTTTATTAGTTAGGAGACCTTTACTATTACAAAACAATTGACATAGTCAACTTGATCTCAGTAAATGGATTCCATATGTCAGGTGATTCTTCATTATGACAATGCATCCCTTCACAAGGCACTGTAGTTAATAGTTACTTAAAGAAGTTTAATTCATGCCACATCTTCCTTCAGTTTATATCTGGCTTCCTGTATCCTGTGATACTTCTGTTTCCCATAATAAAAAAGAATGTTGAAGACCTCTATAATACTTGTTGCGCTGCAACAATTAATATCAATTTGATTTCTACCACTTGATTTTTATATTTGGAAATTACTGCAGAGTCGAAACATTGAGTAGAAATAGATGGAGAGTATTTTGAAGGAATGTTATAATTTATTTTAAAGTTATTATGTACAGTTCGAAAAATAAATATATTGTCAAAACTTTTCAGACACAGTAAATACTGTAATTCGTTCACCACTGGCCATTTGCAATCAATAAGTACTATATTCTCATAATAATAATACTATACCGCCAATGTCACAGCTACAAGATCCTTGTCATTAAGTTTTCCTTCAAACTTTTGCTCGACCTTGTCGAGACGTTTTTCGAGACGGTTTTCTACCCCGTCGATCCGTTTTCCACCCCGTTTATTCTCTTTTCCACTCGTCCTATCTTTGCTTCCATCAGACGTTCGCAAACCCGTCGGCTACTGTCGCTACTGATGCAAGCCCCGCCAACTTGCTTGTTCAGGTATTCTGGCAATACAAGAAAGAGACACAATGCATTTACCGCCGTCGCCCTGAAACGTCTTCCGGATGACATAATTAATTAAGAAATTGCTGGATAATCGTTCGTATATATATAACGGATTAAGACGTAACTCAGCATATTCATATACCGAATGCTAGAGACTACTGGACTCGATGTCTATCGGTGGAGAAGACATTAGAGATCTTAGATTGAATATTGCCAGTCGTAAGTTTACTATCGTATATTAATATGTGCAACTTGCATCTCCGTGTATGATCTTCATTAGTATAAATTTGTAATCGTCAATGAAACTACTGCGAGCCACAATGTTTATGACGTCATAGAATTCAATCACTCATAAGAACAATCAGACCCCCCACATTAGCTAAAGCGGAGCAGAACGTGACCAGTTTTATGGGCTGGATTTGACCAATGAAATCGCCTAGAGATCTGCTTCGCTTTAGACATGCATCCGTTTATGCGTTATACTCCGATAAATTATCTGCTTGAGCTTGAGAATAGATAGTTTCTTATTCCAAACGTAAATCGCGGTAGTCATCATCTTTTTTAAACATGTCTACAAAATAACTTTCTTTTATTATGGCGGAAACTCTCCATTTGCAATGAAACTCTTCGAAATAATCCATTGATATGTGGTAAATATAAAGACCTTTTTATTTTAATGTCTGCGGCTGCGACTAAAATAATGGATGATCGACTCATTGCATCATTGCGCCTACAAATTGGTTCACTGTGCAACTGAATGTGAATTCATGATAAAATGGTCGATCCGTTGACAAAGTCAAAGTCGATCTTCTCGTCTCGCAGTTTAAGAACACATCTTAATCTATTTATACAGAAAGAGAACGTTGGTGCAAGACTTGGTTATTTAAAGTTTGTATTCTATACTATTTGTTATAAGTATGTATTGCTTACTATATCGGTAGTCTCGAATGCTTGAAGCCTTCAGCTTGAGAAATTGCAATGAAGCTGCAATTTCTTGTAACAAAATGGTGGACAGACCTACTGTTTATATAATGTATCTAAAAACAAATTTCATTTTTGGGTGGAACGTAATTGTAACTACTGGTCTCGTTACAACGGCTAACTTTTCGCTGTATTCTGTTAATAGCTTAGTGTGCCATTTAGACTGCCAAGAACTCTATATAATACCTTCAGTCTAGTAAGTACCTTTGTTCTGAGTATAGAGTCTAGAAGAATGTCGTTGTGACAAATATACAATTAAGAATGTACCATTTATACCAGAATACACATGCATTTTATTAATGATTCATTTGTAATCAAACATACGCTGACTGTAATATATTTTGACACTCTGCACTACCAAACAGCTTTAACAATGCCCGGCTTCTATGTAATTGACGTCTTGCCTTTACACCATGCAAGTAAAAGGCCTTTCCACTTGGAGAAACGCATGCGCTCCAAGAAATCTTCCCCCGTTTATTCTTCAAACCTTCCACTTTCTCCAGCAGAAGCTCACTTGAAACGTGAAGCGATCCTCGAAGCTCGTCGTCTTAAACTTGCTCGCCAGTTTCTTCACGTTAAAGATGTCCTTGACAAACAACATCAAAGAGCTTTGCGTGACTCCTCGGCCAAACGATCCCAAATTCAGACTACCCTTCGCATGGCAGAGAAGAACAGGAATTTGATTTTACAAAAGTTAGTCGAACAAGCCGCACAAGAAGTAGCCAGATGTAAAGAAGTTGCGAGAATGCAACAGTTGAAGAATCAAGAGAAAACCGATCGAAGAAGGAAAGACATGGAAAGACGACAGAAAGCGACGGCTGCTAGGAGGGCAAGACTTTTGAGTGCTTCAAAGACAAAGACTACTGGAAGTAACATCAATGTTCCTATGAATCGAGAAGAGGCTGCTGTTTTCATTCAAGGAATTTGGAGATATAATCGATTGATGCCTTGCGTGAAAGCATTCAGGAAGTTTGGGATAAACGCGCATGCGGTCGAATGTACGTCGTTTGGAGATGTCGTAGCATTATTGCAGAAACCGGCGGTTATCCAAGCGACTTCAAAGTTGCTGGCACGCATCAGAAAGGTTTCGTCTTTAACTTCTGGTTCTAAGAAATATAAGAACTTTGCGAGAGTATTCCTTAGTGCATATATGGTTACAGCACATACGGGGGAAATACTTGTTGATATGGGACCACATGAAACTGTAAGTGAGGTTGTGAGATGGTGTATATACGTCATAACATAATTAAAACTTGATGGCGTTATCGTCTTGTAGGAACTATTGAGCAGCGCTAGAAGTATGTTGGCTCATTTTGAGCGTTGGGTAGACGAAGTCTCTGTCACAACTTCGGGCAAAATACAATATTCTTCACTTGTCAAATTCCTTTACGACTGGGATGCCTACTACAACGCCTTCAACACTTGGAAAACAAGGGATTCAGAAAAACTGGCATCTAACCTGATTGCTCACTATTTGGATTACGAAAAGTTGTGGAACACTGTTAAGAGCCAAGCAAATGCTGAGACAGAGTGGCGACCTAATATTGTCTTCCAACAGGAAGAAATCAGACGAAAGGTTAGGAATCTGGGTGGTGATGCCGCGATGGTGCGTTTAGAGAATGCCCTTCGGCAATTAAGAGAGAAGATGCCCAAGGACAATGACGAATCTGGATTCGGAAACGATACCGTTAAAAGGAGTGTCAATCACGAATCGGGTGATTGGTCTGATAGAGATGACGATTTAACTGTGCCTCCGAGACAAGTGGCCGTTTCGCCTGCCCCTTCTTCGTCTTCTCCTTCGCCTTCACCCAATTTACCATCATCTGCATCACACTCGCCGTCGGTATCACCATCATTAAATGGCACAGGTTCTTCGTCCATTTCATCCTCGCCAGTGTCGAATAATATTCATGAAGCGAACAATAACTTGCAAACAATCATACAGAGTTTTGGGGGTTATGGTGCTGGGCTTAGTAACGAAAAGTTGGCACACGAAATCATTATTGATCCTGATTTCGAATTGAAACCGCAGAAGAGAACAGAGTTGGAGGAGCGTGTAAGAGCCATGACTACTAAAGCGCTTCTTGATACTGCTAGGGAGGACTTTGAGCAAGGGCGATATGACAAGTGGATTCCTAGTCTAATGAAAGATATCAAGCAGGTATGTAAACAACCACGCGTTGTGCTGTTCTATTCTCAACTTGTTCGGATAGTTGCCTAACAAATCACTTTGTGCCGCTGACAACGACAGACACTTCAAGAAATAGTACCCCCTCGCTCCTCGCTTTACAATACTATCGAAGAAGTACTCGATATCGACTTGATCGCTCAACAAATCAATGTTGGTGTCTATGACATTCGTAACTGCATAACGTTCATTATCGATCTCATGCTTCAAATCTGCGCTCCTGTACGCGACGAACAAATTAAATCTCTCAAAGAAATGACTGATCTTGCCGAAATCTTTCAACACATATTTGAACTCTTAGACATGATGAAACTAGATTTGCTGAATTATCAAGTCAAATTGATCAGACCATATTTGAAAGAACAAGCCGTAGAATATGAACGTGAAAAATTCGAATCGGCTTTGGTTGCGGGGAAATTGAGTCTGGAGCGGACGAAGGCTTGGCTTTATCCTACTGTTGATGCGCTACTGCGCACTGCTGCTGAGCGCAATCCGGAGAGAGTCAACCTTCCTCAACATAGGCACAATCATGGTATCAAATTCGATCAAGTCTTTGATGATGCGTTTATTTCCCTTATTTTCCAACCTACTCAGATAGGGAGAAACAATTGTCCGGAAACTTTCCTGCTCGACGTCGAACGGTTATGGAATTTCCAGAACGAGAGTCAAATGGTCACTATAGTTGCTGCATTAATTATGTTGACTAAAAATATTGCCACCGCATCCCAACAGCCGAATGTTACCGATCTCGAGACTTTAAAGGACCGCCTATTCATCCTTCTGAGCGATGGTGACATGACCATTGATAATCTCTCTGCCGAGGTTTCAAATCATTTCCCTAAAATGACTCCTGAAACTCAAGCTCTCATTAACTCTATGGTTTCCAAAACGCTCTCGCAGAATGATAAGGTATACTCTTTACTTTCTCGTAGAGTGCAGACAATCGTAAAGACGCATTTACAAAGTGGACAGTTCCCCAAACCGGAATTATTGGCGCAGTACGGCGTTGCTTCTGTCGCAAAGGAACTGGAGGCGTTGAGCAAAAAGATTCGTATACTCGGGAGGTATAATAGGGAAGTGTATGCTAAATGGTATGATGAAACAATCAGAGAAAGGTTGAGATCGCAAGCTGGAGGGAATTGATTAGCAAATTGATTGAGAAATAGTTTATTGTAGGCCTCCCTTTTCTTCTCCTTACAGAGCTTGTTACATATTTATTGTTTATTAATGAAATAAACTGCTGGCCCTTTGATTTCATTATGTGACAGAGATTAAGCAATCGAGAATTACCATTATTCTGGCTATGTGTGTTTACTTGTTGTGATGCAAAAGTATGCGCTCGTCCTCCAGTGATATACATTTCTCATGGAACATGCTGAACGCAATTAATTTCTGAACTTTATTAAGAATTCTCAGCTCGAGCCAAGTTTTTAATATTATAAGATATCCTTTGCGATCATATTTGCGGCGATTGGATGATAAAAGGAACGATGTTCCAGGAACGTCTTTTTCGCTAGTTCTGATCCATTTTTGCATTGATGTAGCAACCTACAACAAGGTATAACAAACTATTAAATACGTTGAACAATAAACAGTTTCCTAAATTTACGACATTACAGACCTGTAGAGCGGTCTAACAAACTTCATTCTGCCTTGTTCGGTTACGAATTTGACTACGTGTGGGAAGATCGGTTCATAATCAGCAAGTAGACACAGTTCTTGCCATCGGAAACGGATTTCCGAGTTTACAACATTTGTCAACTGATATAATCGGTCAAGTTCGCGTACAGCGTTTTGTGGTAGTGGTGGATACTGCGTGAGACGCTGTAAGAAGACAACTGATAAAGAGATACAGATAGACTTAGAATGATATTAAGGTGCCAAAAAACTACGCGCAAGAAGAGGAAAAAATTTCCTTTGCACCCTTTTGAGGAGAGCTAAAGTTCTTGATATCGTTCGGGCTAAACTCTTCAAACGTTGTCTTGTTTCTTGCCGCATCCCATCTATGTAGGAACATAAACGTGAGAGAGACTCTAGTGACGTGACCGGATTATAATAGCAAGATATCTAACCTCATCGCCAATTCATAACATGCTTTCGCCAGAGTCTGATCAAATTCATTTCGCACGGGTGGCTGTTAATACAGTAAAGCAAATTGTTCAAGTACTATTGACACATCATAGAACTCGAATTTCCAAGGCGTTGTATAAGCAGGCATACCAATCCGGGTGCATGCAACCAAGCTTCCCAGTCGATTTTTTCCAAAACCGCTCTCTTTTCAGCGCCATAACTTTTTTCCATGAACGAAAAAAGAAATGCTTTCCAATCATCGGTTGTTATTGATTTACCAGCGAAATTTTCCACATGAGCTTTCATGTATGGCTCAAAATACTTTGGCCCACCAACAAGCTGTTCTATATAATAGAGGAAATTGAAACCCTTTTCTGTGGTCGAGAAAGAAAGAATTCGAGTAAATTAATAAAACGCGACGAGATGAGCAATAACCAAGTGTAATCATTACCATATGGAACATGTGAGAAAGCATCATCAGGGTCAATTCCTTTTAAATTGGGAACGAGCGCGGTTAATGGATTACTATTACCAAAGTGTTTGATACTATCCTCTAGTTCGCGCCAGCCGATAATCGACCTAAAATGTCTGTACGCTTCTCCATCTGCCCGGCCTGTAAAGCATTTTTCCAGTTAAAACAGAAACAACTCCAATGAAAAATAAATTGATATACTCGTAAGCACACCTATAATTTTTCGTTCAAGAAAGACAGTCCATCCTTCGTTCAGCCACAAATGTTCCCAATTGGCATTTGTGACGAGATTACCCGTCCAACTGTGAGAAATCTCATGCGCCACAACATCAACAAGCGACCTATCCCCGGCCAGTAGCGTCGGAGTCACGTAGGTCAAACATGGATTCTCCATACCGCCATAAGGAAAGGATGGTGGCAATACCAAAAGATCATATTTCCTCCATTCGTAAGGGGTCAACAAATTCTCTCCAATAGCAATAAAATCCTCTGTATTTGCAAATTCCCATGCTGCGCTCTCTACCACTTCGGGCTCTGTCCAGATCGTAGATCTAGGACCGATCTGTCGGCCCACCAGATTACCAGCGGCCAAAGCAAGCAGATAGGAGGGAATTTTCGTTTTCTGTTCGAACGTATATACTTTGTGACCGTCGTCAGCTTCCGATTCTCCAGTGCCTATTGCGCTCATTAAAGCACGGCAAGGTGATCGGATTGCCGCGCTATAAGTCACCTTGAGTGATGGAGTGTCTTGACACGGTACCATTGAACGAGCATGGATCTGTTTGTTTAATGCGATAACAGTTATTAATCAAAATGTTAAAACACTAGTTACCCAAACACAAGTTCAGTCACTTACTGCTTGACATTGAGTAAAAAGATAGGGAAGTTTCCCCCCAACTGTTTGACTGTTCATTAACATCAAACGCACGTTGAGTTGGTTCCGTAATCATTGCTTGCAAGTCTAGCTCTTTCTCTTACCTGGGCTCTAGCCACTGGACGGCAGTGCATGCAGAGGTTGTTTCATAACCTATAGTAAGCTTGAATTCGGTGCCTGCTTGTAAACTGCTTGGCAACGTGATTCGTAAAGCTGATCCGAATCTCTCGTCGTCTGGATCAAGTGAGAACTTGGGGCGAGGCATATTCCATGCGTTAATAATAAATATGTATCGATCATATTAACAACTTGATGATGTAACTTGTGTACCTTCAAGGATGCATTATCATAATGTACGCTTCGAACATTGACATGTCTTGTATCCAAGATAACGTTAGAAACATCCGAGGCGACCGTAACCAGATCCAATATGACTGATCCACTGAGAATCTTTTTCGTAAAATCTACGGTTAGATCCAAATGCAAATGGGTCGTCTGCACGTCGTTAATATTGGCATAGCTACTAGGATCATAAAGCATCTTGTCAAGTTATATTAATACAATCTCTTCTGCTTGTTGATGAGATCGGGAGAATAAGGATCGGCAAAATATATTAATTTCAGCCTGTGAATTTCAGCCTGTGTTACATTTGGTATACACAAAACTGGTTAGATGTTAAGCGACTTTCTCCTCACAAGAGTACCCGTGAGTAGTATCGAAGCCAAACCATTTGAAGTATGTTCCAGAAAATTGGCAACTATTTCGCTCTCAAAAACTACCAGTATGAAGTTACTACTGCCCTGTATATGCTTGAGCCATGGGAGAAGGCACTCTTCAGTATGTCGAACTGCTAATAGGCAATTATCATCAGCTCCGACCTTCTCTAACAAAAATTGCTGTTTCATTCCAACGCAGATTCGCTCGTCATAATCGGATCCTCTCTGCTCATTTATGCTACAATATTTTATCTTCCAGACCACCTGTCTCAAGTAGCGGCAAAAATTGCCGACTATACAACCTATAGCATAGAACAACGATAATGTAATGAATTCTCATATGCATGAGCATTTGTGTTTGTATTATTCTAAGATTCACTTTATTTTTAATTTAAGAGTCGTTCAATCTCCGTAACAGTTGTTTGTAGGCAAAAGCACTGAAATTCCAACTCGTTTCTTTTTCATTTCATTTGACTCTTGCAATGCTGTGCAACATTTCCTCTTTTGTAATGAGATGGCATGTCTTCTCGATTAATCCCAGTAAGGAATTTATATTGTTAGACCAATCGTTCAACAGCTGGTTAGCATTTTTCGGCTGTGCGAACGAGACTATCCCTGCTGGTCTGTCGATCCTGGCGTAAATAGTTTTTGAGACGACAAGTTTCGACAAGAAGTCTTCGGTATCCTGTTGCAGAAAAGAATAAAAAAGATATTACCAAAACGAAATTCTGCAGATTGTGAACATTCTTACTCATATAGTTTACCTGATCGTTAAGATCGAGCAACTGTGCTAATCGTTTGGTTCGAATACGAGTGTAGTATTTGGCTACAACACGAATATTCTGCATAGAGTTGTGTCAGTAAGCGAACTTTAAAGATATAATGACTCAAACACATATAGCTTACATGCTCTATAACGCGTTTATGCAGTTCTTGCCAACGTTTTTCGCCGGCTTCATCATCTGGTGCAAACACGGGTGACTGTCTCAATGGGCCACCGTAAAGTTCTTCCATCTTGCGCCACTCAATTAGCTCTGGTGTTATGAAACACTTGATTATGTCACTGCATGAACGGAAGGTTCATGGTGAACGTTATAGAAACGGGTTACTACAATAACGCCTTGAGCGTTGAAAGGACTTGTTATGTTTCAAGTATCATGTCGAAAACCATGGTAGATACTTACTAGTGTGGTGACAGTTTGACCAAATTCGGATCTTGGAATATGCGATGCAGTAAATCACTCTGCTCGTTATCGTACGGTGATAGAATGATGAAGTAAATGACATTTTCTAAAACCTATTTAGAGAAAGAAGTATCGGCGCATGCACGTCTCCGTTAGTCGGTTACAAAAATAATTATCAGTTTGCTTATTCGTTTGCTAAAAGCTGACCTCCTTCCATTGAGATTCATCTTGCTGTATGACAGGCGTATCATATACGTTTCGATAATACTTGCACACATTAAGATATTGTTCCTCATGAATAGCATGTTCGATCATCAACTTATAATATCGAAGTTTAAGATCCTAAAAAAGATAATTGAGGTTAGAAAAATCTTAGCGAATAGAACAACAGCGTGCTTAATTAAACTACTAATAATGTAGAATGATTATACGTTAGACACACTTCAACATTTCGTACATACATGTTGTTCGGGATCAGAAAAAAACTTGGTGTTAATCTTTCGACTAATTATTTGCGTCCGTGTATAATCTCTTTTTGCTAGAGTCAGACGCATCTGCTCGAGAATGAAGTCCGTTTTTTCGCGTTTATCCATGGAACCAAACGTTTCGACTTGCAATTCTTGCAAAATTTCCGCAGCCTCAGAAATTTTACCCTCGTCTTCGCGAATTTTGGATAACATACGCGTCAATCGGGCGCGCTCTACTTCAACGTATATCTGGGTAATAAATGCAGAAATTATAGATATTGAAAATCCAATCTTGAATCTCGCCTAAAATTGCGATTATGATGCTGGCACGATACTTACTTTGCCTTCTGTCACAGTACGCAATGTATCGATTAACTCCAGCTTAGTATCCATATCCGGTGTATGGTCCAAATACGTCATTGTTTCTTGAACCATTTTTGTCATAGCCTAAAAAAAATATCAGACATTGAATATTTCGTATAAGGTAAAAAAAGACACCAGATAGCATTCAACACGCAATTAAAACATACTTGTTTGAGTTGACCATGTTTCTTGGTCAACAACAACACGTATTCATTCAATAATTTCCAGTCTCTAGCCTCGAAACATAACTTAACGATGTGTACTAAAACACGAGTCGAACAATCAAGATCAGCGGCCTATATTACAGCAAATATTTATAAGTAATAAAGCACGCATATAAACCAAACAGTCATGCAATCAAATAAGAACGTACCTGACGAGTTTGTTTCTCAAGAGCAAGTAATTGCTCAAGGGCCTGATGCAATCTTCCTTGCTGAACGCGGAATAAATTAGAACAAGCTCTGAAGAATAAAGTAGCAAAAGTTTTGAATGTTACAAAATTAATCAAGGACATTAACCTTTGCTAAGGCCTCTGTTTCTGGCAGCTGGGCGTCTACAATAGGTTTCAAATCTTGTTCGGTTTTTTCAGACATGCTTTCCGCAAAATTGTTGCGTTATGTCGCTGACGCAACTTGTGTATGGATACCACACGTGATCAACAATCTCTGTTGCCGCAAGTACGGAAGATTGGCGGGGTTCAATTATTATTATACGTTGTGCGGTATCATGGTAAGTCAATTGAACGCTTCAAGTTTCAAATTCCCGCCACATGGATTTCTAAGTTATGCTGTATATATCTCCAGGCCCCAGACTCAAATCTTGAATCGCTAGAAGGACTTGCTGATCATATAGCTTCTTTCACTGCCAGTTGTGATGATGGGAAACTGATTGACGTAGGTCTAGCTCACCCTTGCGATGGGAATGCTATTAAGAAGAGACGCAAGTGTCCTAACATTTCCCATACTATCTACAGTCGACACCAGGCATAAAGCCACAACATGCATCGATATCTCGTAAAATATTTGAGAATGCCACTTTGTTAGTTGCAAAATTAAAGGAAAAGGTTGGGGAAGACAGTGAGCCGGTTGTCAAAGTCACTGGTAACTTTTAAACCATGATAAAATTCGAATTTATTTAAAGCCAATGCTGCTGGCTGACTACTTACATGTGTTTCTCTTTTTCTGTAGTTTCGTATCCAGAGTATAATTATGCTTTCACAGTATCTGGTGACAAGCTTTACGGGGTCAAACGTGCGAATAGTTAATTGAGTGGCGGATTAATTCACGGTATTTTATTTACATGTCGCAGCTTTGGTCATTTTTTATATCAATCAGGTCATTAGCAGTAAGACCTTCCAGTAAGATTACTGTCAAATTATTCGGTCTGGAGTTGACTACACATTCCAACCATTAATCGAACAACATCACAAGTTGCAGTTTCTTAAATTCACTTCTTCCAACTCATTATTATTTAGTTATGATTATTCAAAGGCTGGAAAAGCTTCAATTATTATATTTCTTTAAAATCAAACCAAATATATTTAATAAAATTATTTACTGTGAAAATTTATTATTATGTATTGAAGGAGTTCTTAGTACAGAGTCTCTGTGTCTTGAACTTTCCATAATGAGAACAAGTGATTTGGTTTACGTCCAAAGCATTTCCTTATCCTGTAAAATTGAAAAAATAAAGTACGAAAAAAAATAATATTAATATTAAGGGAACATTATCATTTAAATTGCATTCGTTCACTTTATCTGGTTTTTCTTATTCTGTCCTATTTATGCTGGGTTGAAAAATCATTCACATTCAAAGAAATTATTGTGGGAGGAGCCGTCATATCAATTACCATTTGTTTTGGAAGAAAAAATAGTGGGTATTAGTATGGGAAAGATGAGAAGAATGAGAATTAATACATTTAGTATGTTCAGAGTAATAAATTCAGAAGTTTGAGTTCATCATTTTTACCAATTTCTAGAAGTTATTATTAGCAGGAAGATAAGAAAGTAAAGATTATTAGAATTGTTATCTTGTTTACAGAAGCATTTGTTATTTGTAAGAGAAACTTTGTAGCATGGATAGAAGATTGAAGAGAGTTTGTAGTAATATTAGTATGTTACATTTGATATTGACTGAGCATATTAATATTCTCATAACTTTAAATGTGGTCTTCTTGCTTACACATGCGTATCGCTAAACTTGCAGAGGTTCTTTATACCTCCTATTGCCCAAAGTATAAACTCTGCGTAGTTAAATAATGAAAAATATACCGCCTGATTTATGATTACCGAACGATTCTCTCCTATCTTCAGCGTTTGCTTAGCTAAGTCATCTCTATCGAGAGTTAGAAAACTCGCGGTGGCTCGCGTCTATTCCTATCCGGGAAACTCGACATGGAGAATAACTGCATGCCAATGCTCGTGGAAACCAACAATTTAGAACATATGGGACAAAACCAGACAGAGCGAACATTCTGTTATGTGACATAGATGTGAGGCCGTGGCTGAAAGTTAATTAATACTATTTAATGCTTGATTATCGCAGCTGTAACTTATACGCAAATTTATTTGCTCACCGAAATGACAGATTGTATCGAATCCTATCTCCTCCAAAACAAGGCTGAGTAAATTACAGTTTTAAATTGTGTCGAAATAATGTAGGTATCTCTATATGAAAATAATGAATTTACATTAAACTATGGAATCCAAGAATTATAGCATTATTAGAGGCATTCTAAAAGAAACCCAAGGAGAAAGAATTGCTCCATACGTTTTTAAATCAACAATATCCAAACTCTTCAGTAATATTTAGATAAAGAAGAATTACTTATGGAATTTATCAAGAAAAGTAAAAACCAATAAACGAGCATTAACCCAAACAAATGATGAACCAATAAAAAACAAAAGCTTGAAGAAAATAACGTTAACGTAAAAGCTTCCTCCGCTGATCGACTGACCTGTCAACGAAAGATCGATAAAGACTACTCGATCATATTTCGCTGCTTTGATACAATTGCAATCAAAAAATTACATAAAAATAATTCAATTTTCGTAAGCATAAATTCTATTATTTCGATTATTTAATGTGTAATTTTGAAAATATAAATACTAAATGCACCAAAGCGATTGCATGGGAGGAATACCCAGACCCAAAGCCATTTATAAGTACAACCTATTTTTATTATTAATAACATTATCACTATAGTCTATCTCTTTGCTTTTACTGTCCCCATATTAATATGAGCGTTTTACATTTTCCTTCTTTTATTCGTCAACCCAACATCGAATAGCCTCAACGGTCTTTTTCCGTGGAGTTGTTTTCCGTAGATAATAGTTTTTTATCGTAGAGGCCGCTAGACCGTTTCGTTTACCGAGTGACTCGTCGATTTCAATAGCCATTTTGTGAAATGAGCGAGTCCAACTCAAGCCTTTTGTCAAATGAGATTTTCTACAAGTTTCTGTCGCATAGTCATATTGGCCAATTTGTTTGCTTATCTTATATTTTTCTTGGATTCCATTAGTTTGGGTTGATCACTTGGTCAATTTTCTGATAATATCCTATAATTACAGAATTAGGGAATGTCCAAGATAATTCCGATCAATATCCGAGAATAAATTCGCAAAATATTTTAAAGTGATACAGTCTATTAGATAAATTTCTGTAGCCAAGTTTTTTGTAAATTAACTCAATTCCTGTCGTTTAAATAGCAAACCTTTTTCGAGTCACGATATTCTAACTAACGTCATTAATGCATGCCGCAAATTTCCGTGTATTGATAAATTTAATTCCATTATACTGCGACTAATTGTGAGTTACCGTAAAATCCACTATAACGGCAATTTTTAAATATGAAAGTTGTAACAAAAAAAGTTTCTCATAAAGCAAATTCCATTCCATTACAAGCAATTGACAAGCAAACGGTTATTGTTAATATCCTAGCGTTGTTCTCTCTGTTTAAAGAGAATATAATTGATGTACGCAAGACCGAATAAAGACAGAGCAACAAGGTTTTATTACAATTGCCGCTTGCAGTGTTAAGTTTCTCTCCAAGAAATGCTTGCGTTTTAAATATATATATTATACGCGTATATATCAGTGCTAAAATGTAGAAAAGTATTCTTACAAAGAGAAAATCATAGAGCTATGTAATGCCAGCCGTGGTATTTGATAACGTTAAACCTTAAGAGACAATGTTAGTACCGAGTACAACCAAATTATCTCGTTCACAATCCCACTTTCCTAGAAAATACGCACTTGAATCGCGCACAGCATCCAATGTTGATCATTCATGGATACTACAAAGAAAAGTCACTTTTATCGTTATTGCAATAATATTAATATATATAGAAGGAGGAGGGGTTTGTTGATAGCGAATGAGAATGAGGCTTTTTGTTGTGTTTCTGGAGCGAATCAACCAGATGTACGTAACCTAAAATCACCAATCATTTAATTGTTGCCCCACTCGCCTTATAATGGTGTGACAGCCATATTCTTGGGCATAAACCCGTTCTTTTTCAGGCATGGTAATGGGTAAGGGTCAGGCCCCAAGAGGAACCCAATATCGTAAGGCTTATGCAATATTAGTAATATTTGCATTTGTTGTGACTGCAAGTTTAATACGGGGTCTGTTAAGTGAACTTGGAAACAGTGACGGTAAGACTTGGAGCTGCTTATGGTTTCATCTACGTCCGACTACTTAGATTAGCACTCACTATCAACATACCATTCGCTTGTTCCAGAGTTGGTAAATGCGGGTGGAGATTACCAGAATGCAAAGCAAGACGATTTGGCAGATCACAAGACACTACCAGACAAACAAACAAACAATGAGAATACGCAAGGGTCTGAAAATGATTTGACTGACGGCGTAGACGATGATGAAAATGTAATAATAGTAGACGATGATGATAGACAAATGACAAACGAAGAAGATTTGGACAATACCAACGGCAACAAGGCTGGCGATGCTGGGAATGCTGGAGATGCCGACGATGTTGACAATATCGGTGATGCCGCTGGGGATGCCGACAATGTTGACAATATCGGTGATGCCGCTGGGGATGCCGACAATGTTGATAATGCGGATGATGATGATGCCGGTGATGCCGGTGATGCCAGTAATGCCGGTAATGCCGGTGATGCTGACGATGCTGATGATGTTAACGATAATAATGGCGATGACAAAGATCACACGACACAAGACGGTGTATTGGATACTAACGAAAACGAAAATCGACCTGCCGACAAAGACGGTACTGATGATGGCCCAATTCCAAAGGGAATCACGGCGGCATCAGTATACAAGAAGCCAGCAAACAAGCAATTCCCTTACACTATCGTAACAGCGGTCAGTGATAATCATTTTTGTCCGTTAACCGCCTGGATATACCACATGTACGAAGTGCGCATTCAGCTTGAACAGCATCAGAGACCACGACTATTAGTTTACGATCTTGGCCTCCTCCCTTTCCAACAAGACATTCTCAACATTCTGTATGAGCGAGGTTATGTTGACGAAGTGCGTGTATTCGATTACGGATTATTTCCCGACTTTTTTAATGTAAATGTTTCTCGAGGAGAATATGCATGGAAGCCTGTCATTGTAGCCGAGATAGCGAGAGATTATCCTGGAGTTGTATTCTGGCTCGATTCGGGCACGTTCATTTCGCCAATCTTTTTGAGACAACTAAAGCCAAAATTAAATAGTGCAAGAGGATTTTTGTCGCCCAGATCTGTAGGGGTGCTTGCCAGATGGACTCACCCAGGAGTATTTAAATATTATAACGTGTCCAAGTCCAAATACAGAGGAGTTGGTAATTGCAACGGCGCAGTCGTGATCTTTGATACAAACAGGGTGCAAAATATTATCGATGATTGGGAAAAATGTGCGCGTGTAAAGGATTGTATTGCTCCGCCTGGAAGCAGCCGAGATAATCACAGACAAGATCAGGCTATATTGACACTTGTGGCAGCGAATCACAATTACTTTTGTACGGAGAAGACGAGAACATTTAGATTTGCTACACATCAGGATATAAGCTGTCTGAGCAATATCGCTAAATTCGAGCGTAAACATCCGTTGACGTGGACGCCAACCGACGAGGTTAAAGAGTATATAGCGGAATATATCAAAAACTTCTTTGTATTGCATCCCGATACGGACGATTGTTACAATCCATGGACTGACGCCGCGTGTCCAGATTCACCAGACGTGTAAGACAATAAAATTAGAATACGAAATAAATAATCCGATTACTGCAAAACGAGGCTCTGTATCAGTATTATGGCGTTCTCGTTTTGTATAAATTAGATGGTGCGTAAAATGAACGTAATTTACATGCATATTAATTTATTAATAAATAAATGTTACCTCCGGTGTTCGATCTAAATCCTTGTCATCAACATTTTATACCCTTATATATTACCACCTTGCTATCGACAAAGCCTTCCTCCCAGCAGAGCTGCTGTTGGTCAACAGTTTCAAACTTCCATCCATTTTTAACCAAGTTGTCAAAGAACAACTTGTCTGATCTCAATGCACGCGTATGGTGAGCCATTATAAGCACCGTGTGTTCAGGAGTAGCTAATGCTGTACAATATGAAATGTCAAAACAGAGTATAAGTATATATAGAAGTGTGACACTTTCTCACTCCTCTCATCCGCTTGCGTGAAAAAACAAAGTTTTAACCATTTATTGTCTCAGCTAACGGTTCAATCAAGTGCTCTACCCATACAACGTCCGCCGCAAGGATATAGTCAAATGTCAACGTCGCCTTCACCTCTGGAAGATATTCATCCCTAGAAATTCAAAAAGATGAGGAAAAAAAAAAGACACACATTTTACTGTTATTGATAACGTAATTCGCACCTGTCAGTCCAATCGAGAGGCTTTACTTGTACATTAAAAATTTGGTTAAGTCTTACAATATTTTCAATGTTATTGACAACAGTGGGAGCATCTGTTATGATCACTTGCTCGGCACCGAGAATACTAGCTGCTATGGATGGCAGGGCTTTACCGGCGCCCTGATCAATGAATTGATAAAGTGAGTAACGTGTTTCTCATCGAATGACACGCGAATTCTGAGAATACGTAAATATCAAAGAAATAGGTAATTCTTACCAATTCAATCACTCTCTTTCCTACGATATCCAATTGCTCTTGTTCAACCTGCTTTTCAAGATATTTGGCCAATATCAAGCTCTAAACCAAGAAAAAATTCCGTATATACCCACAGTCTCTTTACAAAGACAAGATTAACGTAAATAATAATAATAATCCTACAGCATCCCAAACACTTTCCGATGTCCGTATTGTATGATGTTCAGAAGTCAATTGGTTCGTCTCGTCATCGACATTCAAGAATATGGGCTTACTGTTTATTTTGAACCTGTTGTCAATCGAATCGGAAAAATAAAAGTCAAATGAGGGGAAACGAGTTCCTTCGAGGAGAAGAATATTATTAGACATTATTAAGTGGGAGTCAATCAGCAGGAACCGAGAATGATTATGATTATCAATTGGTACACACAAATGTTTGTCCAATAATGTAGATGTTTTTTCACTTTTTCTAATCACGATGCATCATCATCGTTTATTCTTGTCTTCGCGGACTGTTTATTCAATTCACTTGCACGTTACATGTTTTTCGACAACCTGGTCAAAGTCACGACCATTCTCATCATTAACTTTACAAAATGAAGCAGTGCTGAAACGGTCACTGCAAAACCTAAGATATCGACTGAAAAGAGAAGACGTTGTAGTTTATAAAGCTCCAGAATCTACAAATAAGTTTTCATGGGCATTTCACGGTGTTGCTGTCGTACAGTTTATCTTTTGGTAAATAAATGGACGATTAGATAGTAAAATCTTAGTATGAATTAAGATTGATGGAATTTTTGCAATAAAGGACAAACATTGCTGATTTGTATTGGAGATTATCACTCAAAAATGAAAGGTACGCGTGAGCATATACTTATATACTTTTTGTTGTCGTGATATCAACATGCGGTGTTTGCAAGGCGATGTTCATTAGATTTTGTCGTAATTGGTTAGGGAACCAGAGAAGTTTGAAAAGCGACTGCTGTACTCGGGTGGCATGTTATTAGCAGGTTTAGTTGCATCTGCGAGTTTGATTCTAATTCCCAGCCGGTAAAGATTCCAGTTGACATTTATTACTTCTGACTTTACAAGTTTTCGCTTGCAAATCATTAACGGATACATACTTTATTAGGACCATAACTTATATTAAGGTATTAAAAGGAGGGGTACGGGCAGAGTTTGAAACGGGGAGAAAACTCTTGCCAAATAAGAAACGGATTGTTCCCGTGAAGAATTTGTATTTGCGTCAGAGACTGTACACCAGACAAGGTTAATAAGATTATTATATTATGTATTTCATATTCGTTTAACAGTAGTGAATTTTCTTGAATCTTTTGTTTATTAGGGGAAACCGGATATGACAAGAAGATGTCCTTTGCCAAGCCATTATTATTGAGAGAGGAAGGCAAGCGGATGCCATACTTTCTGGATAGATCAGGAGAATTCTATGAGCCAAAAGCGTTTGATGCTATCTTTTGGACCAAAGAAAACAGGAAATAAATGAGATAAACTTGATGTTGAAGAAAAAAGACTTCAAACGTTGGGGGACGGAGAAGGGGGGAGAAGGACATGACATACCCAACGACGACAACCCCAGTGTTAGGACAGTATCGTGTTAACTTGATTTCGCCGCGCGTGAACAATATTATCTAAACGCGATGCTAGTTGTCAGGTTACAAAAATCGAGACAACTAGTCGAAACACACGAATTCTCTGCGTTTGTATATCCACACATTTGCTCGTCAATGGATTTTACCCTTGTCTTTGCTTGTGTCTCTTATTCTTCTTGCATATAACATAGAGCCGTCCGCTTCTTCGGACGATAAAGCAACCATCACACCGTCTTTTGATTGAACTCTTGACTTTCATTCCTCTGACAAACATATTCAACATTGTGTTACGCATTGTCAAACGCGGCGTTCGGAGCAGACCTGTTTGAAATGAATTGAAGAAGATCATGTTGTCTTCCCGAAATGAAATGGAAAACGTGTGTCAATAGAATATGAAAGTGAAGGAGAGAATCAAGAATTACAAATCATTGTTCAGACTAGGTTGAGACAAGTCATGGCGTGTTGCTCCTTGTAATTCTAGAGCTTTGTATGATTTATCCATTTCATCATGTAACTGAATAACTTATTACAGAAAACGACTTATTACCGAGTAGGTTGATTGATAATAAGATCAGGCGAAATAAGTTGAGGATTTGCTTCTTTTTTTTTTTAATATTATATCATGTGATTGGTGCAACTAAAAAAATTCAGTTGCGAAAACTAACCGAGAAAAGCCACAAATCTAACCAGACGAGATAACTAACTTATAACTGCCTTTGACAACAATTTTCCCGGACTAGTCAGAGCAAAAATTATCTAATTTTTACTAGCTTTGTTTGATATTTAGAAACAATGAACACCCAATCCGAATAAAGGCCTCGAAACTCCAATCCGAACTAGATTTATTTTTACGTTAAAGTTGACATATGATCATGTCTATTTTTACATGCATTTTATTATTTATCACTTAGTAAAATAAATATTGGTGCACACATGATCGAGAACTCGTCTTGTTCTGTTCAGTGCATTATTTACCAGATAATCATATGCATGGTGTAATAAATCATGTTGGACGCGTAATAGTAAGGTTTTTGTGGCAATTCTTGCTTCCGAGTACCTTCCCATCCTCTCCTTGCGGTGAGATCAGATTTCTGTGACGTACAACTGTATAATTATCTGATTATTACTAAGGGTTGATATTTTTGAAACAGACAATAAATTAAGCCTCATAAATAAATACGAGCTACCCAATCCTTCTGATTATTATAGGTTGTCTACTAGCACAATTAGACGCTGGATTGCTACATTCAAAAAGGAGTAAGAAATAAGTAAAGACAAGCTCGTTCTGGATGTTCCCTCGCGAAACGGTGACGTCAGAAAAAGTTGCCAAGGTCGAGGATTTTGTTAGCAATAACCCACCTGCATTTTGCATAGAAAAACTGTTTCGTGACGTCAACAATGCTACGCCACATAAGGAAACGGATTAAGATCACGAGTGAAACTTTCTCCCTACTTGCCATATTAATATAGTCCCTCGAATAAAGAAACAACTGAAGGAAAAAAGATTTGATAAGGGCGAAAATTTGGCAAGGGCTGCTCAGGCAGTTGCTGAAACCATCCCAAAAGTCGGTTATGAAAAGTCTTTCCAGAGTTGACAGAATTGTCTGCACTGTTGCATGGACATCAATTGAGACTACTTTGAGAGAATGAAATGGTTATTATTATATCGATAATTATTATGAAATTTCTGGAAATAAAGGTCTACGCGCAAAACTTTTCAGCCGCATTACAATGCAGTTTGTAATATGCAAAGTTTTAATGATGCCATAATTAATAATTAATGCTTATTTCCTTCCTACATTCACCAACTTTTCGTAGATTTGGGTTGTATTCTGCCATTTTTCTAAAAAGCAAAAATAAAGTGTCGTTAGCTCTTACGGTTTATTTTTTCCCGCTTTACAAAAAAAATGGGTTCTTGACAACGAGATAATGAATTTGCCTCTACTTTTTTTTTCATTTGTTACGTGAAAGCATGCGCATTTTATGATTATTCCAATTTTTAGTTAAATTGTTGCAATCTCGAGTTAGAAAGTCACACGCACGTTGGGATTGTGCTTGTCACGTGCATAAAAATAATACTGACATCTACATGCCTATAGTAATACTAAATACTCTTCCAGCGAAATGACGGATACTCGAATATCAACAAAGTCGAAATCAATAACAAAACTCCCACCCACTAAAAAAGGTCTCAAAAAAATAAAAAGCAGAATAAAACGAGAACTCGAAGAAAGAAGAAGGGAGCGCAAAGCAAATCTTGAACGAGATTGTGGTAGGACATCATTACATACGCAAAGCAGAATTCCAGACTATTTACGATAGCAATAATTTGTTCGACTCGCAGTGGAAGAGGAATTGGACGAAGAGACTATTAGAGCTGCAAACTTGAAATATAACATGACATGCTTTTTGCTGAACCTAGAAAGTCCAGAGGAGAAAATACTCAAGCAAAAGGTACCGGCTCAATCCCGCAAATTTTCAATAGACTGATGTCGTTAATTAACATAATTTATTACAATCAATTTAAGCTTCTGAGTCTACGTGCTCTGAACATTAAAAAAGACGAAACAGATCTCGTAAGAAATCAAACAGAAAACAAGCAACATAGACATGGTTCGGCAAATTAAGTACTTTATGATTGCTATTAATAATAATCCTATTCAGTGTAAACTGTTTGTACGGCTTCCAAGACCTTTGCATGGATATTTGGATGGGCTACTATGACGCCGACGTTAGACTTTAGCGTTCTCCCAAGAGAGAAATCCAACCGGTTTCCGCGCAAGTCGCTGATCTTCCCTCCGGCCTCCTCAACAAGGAGAGATCCTGATGCGTGGTCCTACATAGCATATCAGGTGCATTACTAAAACGATCCTTGCAAAACATTGCGATGTTATATTACTGTTAGCACCTCCCATTGTTCAGTGCTTGTTACATACCCAAATCTTTTCTTCATAACCTTCTTGTACTGGAAGTCTCAAATATATGTTTGCATCACCTCTAGAAACGGAACAGTATTTACATTGACTGTCCATTCTCACTGGTGGCTTGGTAATTCCCAATAGCGCCGCTATTTTGGCAGAATTATCGTGATCCGAGTGTGCTGCTTCTGTCGATTCGCAAAATGAAGCTGACGCTGGAGATGAGACGTCTGCAAAACGAATAGGTTTCTCCTCCGTTGACGAAATGCTGCGCTTTTATCGAAAAGCAAGATTGAATAGTGTAAGATGACTTGAAATTTCAGGGTAAAAAGACTCGTAAACTTGTTTTAAACTATATCGTCATGACCAGTCGACAGACAGACAGACAGACAGAACTTGCGGACAGGTTTTGCATCAACTCAAGTTGTTGGCCACCCACGCCGTCATATACCATTATTTACAGTAGCTTTATGGCAGAGTTTGAACGTAGTTCCAGCTTGCCTAAACGTTAAACTGCTTGCATCACGTATTTCCATATTCCTGATTATGTAATTAAAATATTATTAACTTACTTGGGAAGCGCCTTGATTTTTAACAGCAATGAACAAACAACCTTTTTCACCGTCTGGTTGTTCAAGATCAACTGGCAGGTTAGGACAACCGACAACACCAAGTTGAACAATTCCATCGACTATCAATGCCAGACATATTGCATACTGTTCTCCGCGAAGAAATCCTTTCGTTCCATCTATGGGATCCAATGTCCACATTCCTACCAATGCAAATATTTCATATCTAGTCAAACTGCCAAGAATGGTCGTATAAAAGCCTCGAATATTTGATTAAAAATAACGTGTACTCACTTCCTTTTGAACCTCCGGCATATGATCCTCTGTCGATAGCTTGCAGCAGCTTAATTAGAGATTCTCAGTCAGACAATGCTCGACTCAGGTTGCTACATGGGTACAATTTCTTACTAACCTCTTCTTCACCTATTGGTGGATCCAGCACAGTATTCGTCAGCTCCAATACTCTCAATCGCAAAGGCGTGCCCGATTCACCACGTAAGTCTCCAGAATCTTCTTCCCCTACGATCGGATCATCAGGGAAGTTTTTATGAAGTATCAGATTTACGACAGCTTGGGCGCTGAAATCCGCCACTAGAGATGAAATTGGACAAGAAATTAGTCGCTAATTGACATAGGAAAGTAAAGTCAGAATATGAAAAAAGAAATAACCTGTCACAGGACTTCTGTCTTTCTTGGTGATAGATTCATTCGCTACAAGCCTGCGGAAGACGCTTTGACTTACCATGCAAGCTTGGAGGACTGCATTAATGGCTACGGCGCGTTCTGTTGCGTAAGCTGAAGACAATGTGTACGCTGGTGAGACAATTCAATTATGGAAACATCAGTCTAAGCGCACAAGCTACCTGTCATAATTGTACTATATCTTTTCGTTGGAATTCGAAACCTGCGCAAGTATTGGAGCATGTTGCGAGATTTTTACAAAAATTATTACTAATGCGCGATCGTCAAGTCCCCATATTATGGGGACTCTTTTTGGGTTAATGAGAATTATTAGTGTCTAAATCAAGCCTCGTATGGTTCTAATACACGAGTCAATTCATGCTACGAGTCGAATTCGTACGTGTCGATTGGAAGAGTAATTATTCATTCTCTTGGGAGTTTTGAGATGAATACAAATATGTTCTAATCGGTTATTCGAACGTACCGTATTTCTCGGACTAAAGAACCCCTGAGCAAAGTAGCCTCTCAGGTCATGTTAGCGTGTGAAATCTGGCGAGATTTATGAACTATCCTCCTATCACAAGTACCGTTCTTAAGACCCGGGGGTACTTTAGTCATAGGAATATGGTGGTTCTTTTGAAACACCCTCCCCCCCCCAAAAAAGTGGTGATGTCACCAGAATGATTGACATGCAATGCAAACCGTTGAATAGACGAGACGTAATTTGAGTGAATAAACCGTTAAATTAGATGCAAAAGACTGAGTCTTGGTGTGTATGCTGATAATCGAGTGAAGTGCGCATTCTTCAAATTTCCAGCAAATCTCTTTGAAGACGAACTTATTCCGAATTCTAATATAAAAAACTGTGGACTTTCCTCGGAAAACGTTCTAACGTAATCATTTATACAGAAAAGAGGCTTTCGTACGTAAACTAATTATTGCATTTCAGATGTCAATTACAGGGATATCTGTCCTGATATGATTATGTGCTTATGTAAAAGTGTTCGCGCAGGGAATTAATTGTAGGCAAGCCATTGCATTTTAGATGTTCCATATTGAGTACAGTGCGTGAAGCTTTTTGCCACTATGATTGTTCCAAAACCAGTTAATGACCAAAACAACTCATCCATTTCATTATAAAACTTATAATGCTGTTTTGCCGATTTATAATATTTGTCATGTTACTAACGGTAAATAGATTAATTCATTTTTAACGATCAAACAATTAATTAATATGCTCTTGTTTTCACGGACTGACCAGTCTCTCGATCAATCGACCAGTAGACTATCTAATATACTGAACATACACCGGGTATGGACCTTTCGACCGTGTAATCGATTGTCTTTGCATGTGTACTAATTAAGACTGTCGCTTTTTTTTTATATCAATCCCAAATGTCAAAATTCTTTAAGTCTTTTTTTTTTTATGTTTAATGTCGATCTTAACTTTTAAGAGATGCACAATGAAGCATAATCCAATGTCCCATATGATTAATTAATTAATAACCGTAGGTTTGAACATCGTATATTAATATGAAAAGACTTATCACACTTTTATTGGTGATCGCTGTGTCACTTGAGTTCTATTGTCGTCATGTCCAATCATAAAACACACAATATACATAATATACACAAGCATGCAAAGTTGAGATACAATTTTTACCCACTAAGAAGTCGGTTTTATAAAATTTATTATCACCTAATAAAGAGCATTTTTCTACCTCAAAAGAACTAGTTATACCGTTCAACCGGACCACTTTTCTCCCAACTCTTCCGTTCTTTACTGATTGTCATTTTTCAATAATTACCACCAAAGACATACAAATTCTATTAATAATATTTAAATTATCTACTATTACAACTGACGGGCGAGCATCATGTCGTGTGATTTAACTGACCCAAATATTCAAACAGCCTACGACGAGATTGTCAGTGGTCAGGATACTAACTGGTAAACTTTAATTTTATTGACCAAGAAAGAAGTGGCAAGAAAAACTGGTGACGGGTTCAGATGAGAGAAATAGAGAATAAAGCACGTCCTCGGGAGACGAGAAACAGATGTTGAATAAAATTGAACCGCATTATCTTGTCGTTATGACAGTATCTTGTAGATTACAGTACTCTAAATGACTCTATAACTCCCATCATTCTGACTTGATAGTCAATTTTAACTCAAATCTAATTCAATTTATTCAAGGCTCATACTCGGCTATAACGATTCAAGGGATAAAATCTCCCTGTACTCTAAGGGTTCCGGAGGTGTCGAGGAACTTCGTCAGAATCTTAGAGAAGAAGTCTTGTACGGCTTCTTGAGGATTGAGAACAGATTTGTATTAATTACATACGTTAGCGAGCAAGTCAGGTATGTGGTGGTTTAGAATGTTCAATTTTTTCTTTCATTGTACTGATTATGTCAACTAACGGAACTCTTCGATTTAATTAGTGGTGTTCGAAGAGGTATGAATTTGAACTTCTCGGCATTACGTGTTCGATGAAGTTTGACTGGAATTTACAGAGAATTTACATTACATAGTCAATACTCATGTTACAATTTGTTCACATTATCTCTATAGCTCGTGCGTTGGTCCATGGCAGAGCTGTGGGCGCCTTATTTAAGGTAGGGAAATACGATGAACTTGCATTTATCTTCATTTGACGCACAGTCTTTCAGTTCTCAATATTGTAATCGATCGAAATTCCGTGATGTGTTATTCATATTCCATTAATTTCACTGTCAAGCAGGCACACCAAGTCCAAATTAGTGCTTCAAATTCAAATGATTTCTCAGAAGTTAATATCCGTAATCGCCTTAAACTTAGCTCTGCCGACGATCGGTCCCCCTCGCCTAGTCGCAAGAACACTCTTGAGCAACGCTCTCCTTCACCCTCTAGTCCACGGCCTAATCAGACAGTCGGATCTCCGAGTCCATTGAAATCGTCAATAAGTGCCGAACCAGAAGATACTCTAGATAACGTAGACGAGGCCGAAAGGGAGCGCGAAGCGGCACAGAGGAAAGACGCCGAGAGGATTGCAAGAGAAGCTGCTGCGCGGAGACAGCAGGAGGAGTCGGAGAGAAAAAAGCAAGAGGGAAAAGAAGCTCAGCTAAGAGAAAAAGCTGCTGCTGAAGCTAGGATGAGAGCTGAGGCTGAGAAAAAATTGAGAATGGAAGCGGAAAGGAAGAAGGATGAAGAATTAAAGAGTAAATTTGCCGAATTAGAGAAAAGTGGAAAGGTATGGTTTTTACGAATATGCAAAATATGGCAAGAGTTTTGTGGTTGTACAACTGGTGACAAACTGAATGAGTTTTGCTTCCTAACAGGTTTTACTCGATGGATTTATCACAGTTCAAGGTGGTGGTGTATACGTAAGTGTGGATATAATGATTTTCCCTTTTGTTTTTCCTTTTATAAACATTTGATCTAAATTACGAATTGATACGTAGTTTTGGAAACGCCGCTTCTTCGAATTACGTGGTAAAACACTTTATTTGTTCCGCGACGATAATGAAAAACTTCCCATCTCCAAACTGGAACTTGACGGAGAAGTAGTTAATGTGCAGGATGCGCAAACTGATGTCCTCATAAGCAACTCGGTCAAAGTCGATTTCCGATCGACTGACCCGTATTACTTCTTTACTGATGACAGGAAAAGCAAAGACCTGTTCTTTTCTGCTATAGAGCGATATGTCAAGTAGATTAGTTATTACTATTATTTTATTATTATTTTACGGTTGGCTTTATTTATTTTATCTTATTATTTATAGCTGAAGTATCTGTGTAGAATTTACTCCAGTGTTCTTTGGGTTTATGTGAAAAGTATCTTTGAATTTATTAAAACGCGTCATTCATATTATTAGATTAGACTTCATTTATTATAGTTACAAGGTAAAGAGCACTCTCACATCATAGTCAGTCTAGGATAAACGCATCTTCAGGACTGTCCAACGCTTTTGCTTCAACTCATCATTGAGATTATTCTTATTGTCATCTTAATTGAAATAATTATATAATGAACCGTTTTCTGTAAACCTGTAATGAAACAGGAAGGCCTTAACATTTCATAGAAGCCAAATGAGAAATGACAAGCGAGAAGACAATGACGAGTTTGCGCGAGTTTACAACATGAAATTGGATTTTATTTTCGTGAACATATTAAACGTTCTTCTGCACATTATCGTGATTACAATTATTTTCTGCGAACAGAACCGACCTTGTCCGCGTGTTAGGAACGCGCGCGCGCTCGCTTGCATGGGGAATTAAGGTATTGAGCGTTATTTATACTTAAAAATAACCCGGAGAGCACGCCAACTTTCCAAATAGCCAAACTAACCTTTCCCCTCCCGAATTCATCGCCTTTGGTCGTTTTCCTCTTGACAGCTCGTTTGTTTTGTTTCGTCTCCTCAACAACGACTATATCATCATCTTCTACTTTGCTGTTATTATCAGTATCGTCCTTAATTTCCTTGACAAAACTGCCCACATCCCCTTTTATCTTTTGTATCGCAGGTACAACAGCGGTCGTCCGTCCTCCGACATTGAGGAAAATAACCTCATTTCCATCAGACATTTTAACCTTGTTCTTTTTTGACTTGGACCATCGTACATGAAAAAGCCAATCTTTGGGAAATTCGTCTGGGTTTGCATTCACTTCGACAGCTTTTTCACACACCCATACCATTTTCTCTCGTATCATCCTTATTTGTTCTTTGTTCAACGTATTCGCTCGTTGGTTCGGATGAACTCTCGCTTGATACAGCACCTCATCGGCAACCCAATTGCCCACGCCAGCAGAGAATGATTGATCCAAGAGCAGCGCTTTGATAGGACATTTACGACTTGATACTTGAGCAGAAAAAGCAGCTAGTGAAGGTATATCTTGAAGAGGGTCGAATCCGAGATCAGAGAGAGGCGGATGAGATAGTACTGGTGAGGGCACAAGGCGAATCCGAGAAAGGCGACGGGGATCAGTAAAAGCGACGATTACGGAAGAAGATGAAGTAGATGAAGAAGAAGATGATGATGTTGGATCGGTTTGTGAGGGAGAGGCAAACGTGAGAATCAGTTTGTAGTATAATGGAGGCCAACTAGAAGAGGAAGGTCTCCTGCGACGATAATGGAAACTTTGGTGACCTTTGAACTAAGACGTACGAATAAATTAAAGAATGTAAAATAGTGAGAAAAGTAGCTGCAATTAACATGGAATATAACCTTTATGTCACCCGTCATTCCAAAATGGAATACTGGATGTGGACCCTCGTCAAATACTGGTTACGAGTAATCGTCATTGTGAATAAGTTTCAAATCTCCGTACAGATCGGACGAAATGCAAGTCCATTTATACTTACGGAAATAGAAATATTTCCCGCGTCTCCCTGTCTCTGTGACAGTCTTGTTCAACAAATGTTCTGCAAATTTCTCGTGCGGCATTCCACAAAACACCTGAACGCATGTAATGATGGATTTCTTTTATAATAAATCAGCTTACTCTTTATTATTTCATTTTGGAACTTTCTTACCAACAAATCTTCTTTCTTTCAATGCAAGCATTAAAATTGTTTATGATGACATTCAATTAGATTGAAATGAGTATTGAATAGTAAAATGAGCCATGCATAGAGAAATATTTACAGTTTCTACATCAATGATCTTTTTCCCAACCAACAACTCGTGGCATGCTCTTTCTGCCCGATGAACTTCGGGAAGTTCGGGCATTGGATTGTAAAGTAAAGATGTTCGGTTTATTTGGCCTGTGGGAAATGAATGAAAGTCACCAATATGCTGTGCGATGATGAAATGTTTTTCTCTTTGCAGAAATTGTAGTCAATAACATAAGTTATTATTATTTGCTCGTGCTTCGGCACCCACCAATTTGCCATGTAGATCTTCACCTAATTTACTTTACTTTCCATTCAGAAATTGCGAGTATTTACTCTTGAGCGGTTTATACGTGGGTTATGTAATTTGTTCTTCCTTCGTTTTTTGTTGTTTTCGCGGATATAAGTATCAGAATTGTGATCTGCACACACTATGATGATTAGGGTCCGATTTGATCATTCTTTCAAGGTTTTTATTCAGAACCCAATCGAAAACTGTTGTAATAAGAGATTTAGTTTCACATTGCAAATCGTAATCGATCGATCTATACTCTACAAATTTGGCTAACTAAGAACTTCAGTCGTATTACGCCATTACAAACTAACTAAAGTAAGCACTCATCTAGTGTTCGTAACTTAGTCGCCAAACGACATCAACGACTGATTGGTGTCTCCCCAAATTTGGTAATTCCTTTAATACTTATGTGGGACATTAAAATTTGAGTAGCGTAATTATACCAATTAGGTATTATTTATTAAATTAATATTAAAAAATAATTTCTACTCGCCAATCAATTCCCCCCTTCTTCTATCTGGGCGACAATCCAATCCAAGCCTTCAAATAGACTGCAAAACAATAGATATTGTTAGACTGAACAAAAAACACTCAATTGCGTACAGGTGTTAAAACATCGCTTACCCATCACCGGTCAGTGCACAACAAGCCTAAAAACAGGGAACAGTATTAGCCTGCAACCTATAGTCTTATATTTTGCTATACATAATCGTCTTACTTGTATGTGCCATTGTCGATCTCGAAGTCCTGTTAGATTCAATGCTTCGGATATTTGCGCTGCAGACAATGCCCCAGTCATATCTTGCTTGTTAGCAAACACAAGCAACGCTGCATTTTTCAAGTTCTTTCAAATAAAGCATACAGTAAATGGCTTTTAATATAATCTTCAAACAACATGTCACACTCTCCCTTCACAATCGTCATCTCAATCAAAGGTTTCACCAACAAGAGTACAGCTCACACTTACTTCATCTTCCAGCATCGTATGTAGTTCATTCCTGGAGATATGTAATCTGTTTTTATCGGTACTGTCAATAACCATGATGACAGCTTTCGTCTTTACGTAGTAAGTTTTCCATGTCGATCTCAGTGCGTCTTGACCACCCAGATCCTGATTAGTAAATAAAAAGACAATGTAACAAGCTGATACACCAAAAGGCAAGAGCAGACAAAACTTGAAGTGTTTTCAAAGCAACTCCACTTACCCACATTAGGAAGCGAATATTCTTATAAGTTATTTCCTATTACGGTTGTTCACGTTGTATTAATAAGGAAGGCTACTCTGAAAGGCCGTCAATCAGTCAATCAGTCAATCAGAGTTGTTGGCTTACCTCAACGTTGGAGCCGATAGTCGGTGTTGTAACCACCACTTCGTTTAACAGTCTAGATCGTAAATCAAATATAAAGCATTAAGCTTCACAGAACCACTTCTTGGACTTGCTATCAACTTTAACTCACAATTTATACAGCACAGTTGTCTTTCCGGCATTATCCAAACCGACAAGTATGATCTTGACTTCTTCTCTGCTCATAAGCCTTCGCCATAACTTTCCAATAACCAAACCCATATTTCACTCTCTATAATCTGATCTAATATATGGAGTATATTAAAAAGTTTCACTAATACATGGCAGAGTTGAAGCATGTCAATAAAATGTATTGGTTGCCTAAATGCGTGTAGGATTTCTTTGTTCACATGATTGTTACATTCGAGTCACACAAGTCACGTTTTCCGTTACATAAAAATAAACGCGACACGATATGATCATCCGTTGAGAGATTAAATGGCGGATGAGATTCCAAGAACCGGCCGCATTCCTCGTCGAGGAGTGACTGCGAGACGAAGATATCCACTTTCTGCTCGCAAGGCTGTCACTAACTCACGCATAGTTGTGCCCGCAACTCCCAGTCAACTTGAACGTGCACTTAATAGACAAGAATCAGTTCCCAGTCCAGAAACCCATGTCGACGAAGGAACAGACGAAAATGTGTTTGTTGGGTCCGAAGAAAGCGGAATGAGAATAACTATTGGTAGACGTACTGAAGAGAGTCCGATTGTATTGGTAAACACGAATGGAATGTACAAAATTTCTAATAAACAAAACATTGTTAACATTCATTTTGTCTCGTAAAGCTTAGACACATGTCTAGAGTATCAGTAAAAGCACAAGAACGCTTACAGACACCAAGAAAGCAGATACTATCACCTGCTTCTCAAAGATTTAATTTTCGAACACCCGGTTCAGCAACAACAACGCCAACTTCAGCCCGGAGAATTTTAAAATTTACTCCTGGAATAATAGCTAGTCTTACTAAAAAACCTTCTGTCAAATCTGTCGAACACAGAGTAAGACACGGTCGAGTTACTAAAGAAACACCAATTAATATTTTAAGGCGGCTAACACGAGGTATGCTTATTATACATGTCTGTAGTATGTTTTGTATTTATTTCGATAACACATATAGAGAATATAACTCGACTCACTTTCAGCTGCCGGTCTGATGGAGGGTGATAAGGCAAGTGATTGGCCGAGGCATGATTTGTCGAAGGATACGGAGGATAATGGGCCAAGTGATTTGATGGAGCATACGAAGGATGATCGGACAAGTGATTTGCCGAAGCATACAGAGGATTATGGGCCAAGTGATTTGACAAAGCATACGGAGGATGATGGGGCAAGTGATTCGACGGAGTATACGGAGGATGATAAATACAAATGTCTTGATGATGCTGGGATGATTGATATGGAGGATTTGGATGATAATAAGGAAGTGGAAAATAAACTCGACTCACTTTCAGCTGCTGGTCTGACGGAGGGTGATCGGGCAAGTGATGCGCAGGATGATAAATATAAATGTGTTGATGATGCTGGGGCGATTGATTTTATGGAGGAATTTGATGATAATAAGGCAGTTGAAAATAAACTCATCTCACTTTCAGCTGCTTGTCTGATGGAGGGCGATCAGGCAAGTGATTGGCCGAGGCATGATTTGCCGAAGCATACGGAGGATGGCAAACCAAGTGATTTGATGGAGCATATGGAGGGTGATCGGGCAAGTGATTTGCCGAAGCATATGGAGGATTATGGACTAAGTGGTTTGATAGAGCATACGGAGGATGATCGGGCGAGTGATTTGCCGAAGCATATGGAGGATTATGGACTAAGTGGTTTGATAGAGCATACGAAGGATGATCGGGCGAGTGATTTGCCGAGGCATATGGAGAATTATGGGCTAAGTGATTTGATAGAGCATACGGAGGATGATCGGGCGAGTGATTTGCCGAAGCATATGGAGAATTATGGACTAAGTGATTTGATAGAGCATACGAAGGATGATCGGGCGAGTGATTTGCCGAAGTATACGGAGGATTATGGGCTAAGTGATTTGATAGAGCATATGGAGGATGATGGGGCGAGTGATTTGCCGAAGCATACGGAGGATTATGGACCAAGTGATTTGATGGATCATACGGAGGATGATCGGGCAAGTGATGTGCAGGATGATAAATATAAATGTGTTGATGATGCTGGGGCGACTGATTTTGTGGATGAGTTTGACGATAATGAGGAAGCTGAAAATAAACAGAGGTTCGCGTTCACATTGAAGATATAATCGTTTTATAATTTATTGGGGTGTTATAGTAATACTAGAATTTTATAATTAGATCAACGAAAAGTAAGGCTGCAAGAAACAAACCACCGCCAAGGTAGATTTGCATTTTTAACCACTTAGTTCGGACCATCGTATGAAACATTTGGCTGACGATCTATTTGACTTTACAGATTGTCAGCACATGGAATACCGGTGCCTAGTCTCCCTAAAACGTTAATCAGAAGTCTATTTACGCGATTTTCCCATCGTAAAGTGTCTAGAGAGGCTTGGAATTCTATTTACGAAGCGTTAGTATGACAAAGTATTTTAGTATCTCTTTCCATTCACATAATTTACCGTATTACTTTTTTTACAGTTCAGATAAATTCTTCGAACAAGCAGCTGACAGCCTAGTACGCATCTCAGATGGGCGACGAACGATCACTGAGGATGATGTAGTAACACTCATGAAAAGGTAACATATTGTAAAGAACCTTCTCCACATGTTGCTTTAGTCCGTTTTGTATTGACAGATCAATGATTTTTGTAAATACAGACAAAACGTCATTACGGCAAATCGGACATTGGAATCGCTAGCACATAAATACTTACCACGTGAACTGTCAGATGAAATATGCAAAACAGCACGTGCGGGCAACGTTGTGTATCCGCCATAGTTATGGAGACTTTTTTATATAATGTTATCTAATACAGCATATTCATTAACCTCATAAATAATGATAATGTATTTATTATTATATTGTTGTATATATACAGTATAAAAAAAAGATTACATCTTCAAATGCAATATAGCAATGACTACAAAGATATTTAATTCATTTGTACTGATTACTTATTAATCGATCGCTCTAGACGTTGAAGAAGTTCTCTTTGTTGCTTGTAACAAGACAATTTGACTCGACACTGTTTTTCGAGTCTTTCAATATAAAGCCATTTGTCGTTTGTCTATTATTTTTCGTATCGCGCGGGGTGGGTGTTCAGATTTAAATTAATATTGCGTGAAGCCTGTAAGCTCGGAAAATAATGACAATGATCTCATCGTAGTTCAATGTATTTCAGCTTCCTGGCTGGCAAAGGGGATAAGTTGTCTTGCATGCTTGGTGAAAATGTCATTTCTATTTGACAAGAGATATCAAAAAATTTTTATTTTTTTATTTTATTATACGTACTGTACATTAATATTCTGTTTGCTATTATTAATCATCAATAGCTTGCGACTCGTGACTTTAAGGCTATGGCCGAATTAAGTTAATAATGACCTATTTGTCATGCTACACAAACTATGTAAATTAAAATTCGATCTATTTCTTTCTACTTCCTTAATAACGATGCTTACGAATCGCACTCGTCGTCTATTTACCATCTCACCAAGAACAAACTTGCTTTCAAATCATACTCACCGTCTATTTACTCACTCTCACATTTCCTCTATTTATACTCGACTACAATCAGAGACTGGTAATGCGTTAGCACGCAACCTAGCAACGTCGGCAATAGAGAAAGAGGAACAGCGTATAAATGGTGGCGGGAAAGATTTAAAGATTGAGATTACTGATCGAGCTGCTCAGGTTAGTTTTTATTGATAGAATTAAGATTTTAAAATGCTGGATTGAGTGGTTTGTGAATTTTACTTCTCGGCATAGATTACTATAAAACTTAATAATATACTTGAGCATCGAGTTATTTCAAATTACAACAATAAACTTGTCTGTTTTGTTTTGTCCTTGTCCTGTTTGCTAATTATTTTATGTAGCAATTGAACATAGTAACAGCAAGGGAGAAAGAACCTAATAACGTGTTGAGGGTGACAGTCGATTCTGGAGGATGTCATGGCTTTCAATATCTTTATGATTTGACAGAGGCGGATAAATTACAGCAAGATGACGTGTAAGTGTATTCGATTCGTATGTTTAGGAGATCTTGGCTCGTAATAATTAATCTTTCGTCCTTCAATGTTCGTTTTTAGACTATTTGAAAAAAATGGAGCAAAAGTAGTGGTTGACATGACATCTCTTGAACTGATCAATGGAGCCAAGTTAGATTATACAGAAGAATTAGTCGGCTCACAGTTTAAAGTAATCGATAATCCACGGGCTGCGACCGCATGCGGGTGAGTAATGACGACTATGTGCTTTGGATAGTTTCTAACTATCTGATATTGATCCGATGCTGTTATTTTTTTGTTTACGTTGTAGCTGTGGGATAAGTTTTGAGATAAAAATATGACATTCGAGAATGCGGTGATAACCAGATACCAAAGACTTCCACCGTCTTTTTGCCGTCTTTTTGCTGTCATTTTGATGATTGTCTATACAATCCGTGATTCCTAACACGCAATCATTACATTTAGCAAAATTGTTCCTGCAACAGACACTATACGCGTAGTATCGATTTCATATGATTTTTCGTTTTGCAACAAATCCCAAACAAGAACTAAGGTCATGCGACTGTAGTTAAATTCATTATGACTTGAAAATCTGACAGTTTTGTATCCAGTATTTGTATTTCTATGCTTTGCGTATCAATAAAATATTTGTAACATTCACTAGTATGCCTGACGTATATTATATTCTCAACATGACCTTTAAACAGCTGGTTCTCGAATAAAGACCATTTCGCATCGTTGACGCTGTGCTACACACAATCCACTTATTATTGAGATACTCTTCTAGCGGCTTTAACCTGTTCAACAAGATACTAACAGGGTGATTTGACAAGTTTTAAACGAATAAATCGAGTATGAGAAATAGTTTAATTAAGATAACAGACTCGTTTCAAAGGTTTAAACCGTCCTCTTACCTTCACTCTTGCCTTACATTCTTTCTTCGTTTTTCCTTCGACGGCAGCCGCAATCAAATCCCATCGATCTGCACTACCTTGGTAATCCTTAGGATATTCTTGCAAGGCGCGTTCCAGCTGTGTCTGTTGACTTGCCGACCAAGGTTGATTGGATGCATCCGATGCACTTCCAGCAACATCTTTTGTATTATTAGCTGCATTGGCCGTAGTATTATCAGCCGCATTGTTTTTTTTACTAGTTGACTTGTCCGATGAAGGAGATTTCGCTTTCGAAGACTCGGAACTTATGATTTTAGTTTCAGTAGTCAGGCGAGTCGGGTCGTCATAGTTAATAGTCGCCTCTCGCATAGAAGGCTCCTCAGTAATACGGGTGTCAGAATGCTTTCTCAGTAGTTGTAATTTGCGTACATCTTTTTCGTCCAAAGCAACGGCACCTGGAAAACACACATAAGTTTAAGTCTCGTCGGTTGAAGGATACATGAACTTGCAATGCTGGCACCACGAATTATTCAACTATATCGCACCTTTTTGAACTTCCTTAGACTTTTTGATTAATTCTTCGCTAGTTCGGGGTGGGTTGCCGGAATGTTGCGCAACATATTCACTTATTTGACTCCACCTGAAATGATGTCAATAAATGGTTTGAGCAACACAAATCCCATAATTCATATTTACCTATTGGCAACTCCAGGTCGAAATCTATTAACTGCTTTGATGAAAACTGCTATCTCTTCAACCGTCCATGGTTGCTCCTTATTCTCTTCTTCTTTATCTTCCTCTGTCTTATTCTTCTCTTCCTCCTTCTCCTCTTTTCCACCACTTTGTGCTGTTGCTGTAGGCTTCACGGCCGCATCTACAAAATCAGGTTGGAATTCATGCCAACTACACGTGAAATTCAATCAAAAACTAAAATCACCAAAACTTACCAGGCCCGTAATGCTTAATTGCTTCCGGTTTCAACACACCCTTTTTAATTAATCTTGCCGCTTCATCCTCTAATACCGTCTTTGCTACTTTACGATTAGCGGAATCGTCTAGTCGTTTCCTTAACGACTGTGTTTCCTCCAACGAAAGATTCTCGAGTATTGAGTCCAGTTCAGATATTTGAATTGCTAGTAGCTCAGACGATAATGTCGTTGAATCAGGATGGAAATAGTTATTACTCTTGGAAATCAAGAATTAATTAACCAGATTAGTTTAAAGATGAAGTGAGTAAGGAATTAAACTTAAACTTAAACTAAATCAATACGAAGAATAAATACTGAGTAAGCCCCATACCTTAACATAGTTTCTTATGCTTTTTCGTTCCGTACGCATCGCTTTCCTTCTTGCCTCTTTGACTTTCTTTTCTTCAAGTTGCTAATAGATGCAAAATTAATATTTGTATTTTGACGAACAGTTCTTTGGATAACCATTCTTTCATTGTCACATCAGGCTCATACCTTCTGCTTGGCCTCAGCCTCTTGTTGCTCTTTTATCCTTTGTGCCTCTTCAGCAGCCTATTTAGTACCAAACATCATCAGAAGTTTGTTGAGCCAGTCATATGGCAGCACAGTCACTCTTTTTTAAGAAGATTTAATATAAAACTGTTCTCACTTTTTTTGCCTCCTCCTCAGCTTTCTTAACAGCCTCCTCTTTCTCTTTCATTTTTGCCTCCTTTGCCGCCCTTTCTTCTGCCTTTAACTTGGCAATTCTTGGATCTAAAGCCTTCGCTTGATCTGCCCATATGTACAGACCACGTGGAACCAAAATAAAACCACATTAAATTGATTTGTAAAATCACTTGGGCTGTGAGTGTAGAAAATGATTTTGTGGAGTATACCTGCACTTAAGAAAGAACCATACCAACAATTTTAAGCAACCGCGCGTTATCTTTTTTTTTTAACTTTGCTCTTTCGGTTTTGTTTTTCTTTTCCACATAGCGTTTATCCTCCCGGCTATTATCAGTGAAACCAAAAAAGATAGCAAGAATGAAGTCAGAATGAGAGTTTGATGTTGAAAAAAAAAGACATTGATTATAGTGAGCGAACTGAACGCTATAATTCATTCTTGTAAGACGTACTTCTCTGTGTTATCCGCGTCTTCTTTATCAAAGTATTCAAAAGATCGCCAAGAATCGAAGTTGTACCAAAAGTCGTAGAATGTCTCTAGCTCTGCAAGCGTCGAATTCGTATCACCAAGCATTGGAACCGGTGTCTTGTTCGAAAATCTACGATATATTTCAGCTCAAACCGACGTCTTTCTATTTAAAAAAAAAAGCCACGCCTCTATAGTACCTTGCCTCGCGTTCAAACACGGGTCCGTATATTTGGAAAAAATCTCCTTCTGTCTTTGAACTCGGTACAGAGTTGTCTATTAATGGATCAATAGAATCGTATTGCCGTCTCTTGATAGGATCGGTTAGAATTTCGTATGCTGCGCGCGGATGTCAAAAGTCGGGAGAGATGATTAGTTATGAAATCTAGGAATGTTCGTCAGCCAGCAATAAATTACCTTTTTGGATACATTTGAAGAAGGAATCATCGTTGGTATTCCCACTCGAGGCCTTTTTGTCTGGATGGTGCTTTAAAACCTTTTTCCTATCTACAGATAACGATCACGTTGCAATTAATTGCACGAATGGCGACAGAATCAATTCACATTGGAATTAAAAGATTCGTACGCGCTCGCCTAATATCATCTTCTGTTGCTCTCCATCTACTCTTTGAAAGACCAAGAACCGCATAATGATCTTGTTCCTTGTTAGTTAAAATTAAAAGCGTCAGTACGTACGCATACATTTACTCAGTTCAGTATACATACCTTCCAATCTTTGGGATCTCTCTTCAACAACTCTGGTGTTTCTTCTTCTTCCTCTTCGTAATCAGCTTCAAGTTCAACAACTTCATTCTCTGCTAAAGTTCTTTCATCGACCAGAAAGCTATAGTTGTGTAATTTTCTACGTGCGTGGGCGAGGTAATATTGTCCGACCGGTTCTAATTCTCGAATTACGCATTCTGGAATTACAATGTAAAATTAATCATAATAGACGTAAAAGACAGTAATGTGATAATAAATTTAATAATTTTACCAGACAAAGTTCCATGGACTTGATAAGTCAAGTCTTTATTCCAGGAATCAGGTATTCTGGGAAGAAGCTTGGACATCATAATGACAGTTGCTAGACAATATAACAAAAACCGCGAAAAGTTTGTTAAATCATTTGGCAGTACATGACGCCATAAAAAGATCAGGGGTTATTAAAACGTCAAGTGTCACATACCGGCATTCTCATCCTTACAAGGTACCGTAAGTCGGCAACAATGACAATAATCCCTGCTTTTTTGGCCACAGTACAATTTTAGGGCCATAGTCATCGTACCATAACCCGAATTTTCATAATAATTAGTTTTCTTATTTCTGAAACTGTCAAACAATTCGAAAATTAAAGCGAGTTTACAATGTTTTGTGCGAGCACCTTGCTTCGAATAAAAGTTCCTTGCCATATTCAACAATGCTACGTCCACAACCAAAGAACGATAAATACATTAATTTGAACAAGACAAAGCTGTATGAGTACTTTCAAAGCCTTTCTTTCATGATAATCACGATGCGCATTATAATTGTTGTAAATGCTATCCATCTATCTAACTTCTCAGCTTAAACTTGACCTGTTAAATCATGTATTGGTGTATCTTGATTTAATGTATGGTGAGTCTCACTGTTTATATCTCCACAGCTTTACATCGGGAAGTACATTTATCAACCAGTCAAGGAATGGGTTGAAATAATAACAAAAGAATTGAAAGCCTCCGCGATCTAAATCTTAAGTAGGTTATAATCCTGCTTAATTTAATGAAGTATTCTACTTGACAAAAATTAGTTAATACCTATTCCATTTAGCAAACTCAATTTCAAGTTGCTGTTCCATGGTTACTATTTATATTAGAAAAATGGTCTATTAGAAGGGCTTAGAATTGGTAATTTGTACTTGATAAACGTGTGTTCGTCGTTATTTTACTATTACTATATCAGTTTATTGCAAGTAATGGATGTTATTCCATACATTTATCTGCTCAACGGTTAGTGGACCCAATTCCGTTTTATATGCAAGTTTGTCAACTGACTCAACAATAGTATACTACAAGATAGCCCATAGACTTGCTGCGCAGATCCTTGTAAAGAAAAATATAACACTATACACAGTAATAACTAGTACAAAAAGTTGATGGATTGTGTGCCGTTGTTTACTATATACCGGATGCAGTATATCGCTGATATTTAGAATGAGTTGGACTGTTAAACTATATTTATAAATACAGTAAACTTGACAAACGAGAGTATTGAATTTGTCAAATTGTCTTTATTATTATTATTATTATAAATTAATTAACAGCGAAAATAATAAATTGGCTGCATACTAATATGGTTATGCAAACTGAGCAAGTAAAACGTCTTTAAATATTAACATGATGCTAGTGTGTCTGGACAACTAACCAGTAGACATGCAACAAAGCTGTTATCGACATGTTCAACCGATATTACAAAATTTTTATTAAAACGCGATCCTGCGATTACGAATTGGCCATCCGTCGGTACGTAAAGATGCATGCGTTATGTATTTACATCGATAAGTGCAATAAATAATTTGTTTTCCGGTTACTTTTGAATAGGCAGAATTCGCCATGTCGTATAAAGAAAAACTACAAGGAGCATAGCCATATCTAAAAATTTGAATGCTAAAGATTTGAATGTAAAAAAAGCTATTAACGCGAATTAACCGTAACATCACAGGGCCGATAACCAAGGCTGTCCCGAATATCTTGAATAGCAAGCTCACATGAAGCGCTTTATTTGTCAATAAAAATCTTTACGCACAAACTTAAAGCATGTATGAAGCAGTGTTTTTTTCATTGGTAGCAATCATGTTACACGTGAATTTCAGACGATAAATACTACAGTACTTATTATTATACTTTATCGAAGATCTTTAGTTTCGGAACAAATGTCAGCAATTGACAGCCTGATTAATTCCACCTCGGCAAGTTATAGTTGGATTTCTTGTTCGGAAATTGCCAACATAAAGCCAAGTCAAATTGATAACGTCTGCTATGCTATTCACAAACTAACGTTTGATGATGGTAGAATTGAGGAAACGATGATAGTGTTGGTATTACTTGGGAGCGATGAAGCATGTACACCAACACTTGTGAGTGAGTTTGCCAGAATATACTCGCTTCAAACACGCAAGTACAACGATGACGTTAATCAGTTCAGAAGATATTCCAGATGGCTTAAGAATCGCAACGAACTTATAATTGGATTCACCAAGCCCAATGACAACTATTACATGGTTGCTAATAATCGCTTTTATCATTGTTACTCACGATATGGATTCTGCTCCACATGCGGAATACTCCGGTGTAGCCCTGTGTGGTGCGTTTGCGGATGTAAAGAATTAACCAATGGATGGACTAGCAACAATAAACAACTTGATGAATTTATTAAGAAGTCTCAATTACAAACAACCTCAGCAAATGATTCTTATTTGGAATGGATTCCAGATGATTGTATTAAGGATAATGGATACTTGTATGGTCTACCTACTGTTGAAAATATTCGATTGATTCGAATTGAGATAACCGATGAGGCAGATAATTCATGTTATGACAAAGTAAACCATTCAATTATTCATTATGCATCACTATTGACTGTTTGAATAATTATTGACCTAACATACCATTTTCTCTAGTTATATGACGCGCACCCGGATATTATGAAAGATTATTGGGTTACCGTCGGATTTACTTACAAAGCAAGCGAACAAAAGTATTGTCTAATAAAAGAATATTGGGGGGATGGATTATGTCTGGCATGCGCACGTTGTTTTGAAGTTACGATAAATGCATTCTGTCTCGAATGTAAATCGCCAATACCGCTTGATTGGACTACGGGCAACGAATTTGTGGATTCATTCATTATGGAATCGTGGAGTAATTGTGTAAATGAATATGATGCCTATATACAATGGATAGATTATTCCCTACTGATAAGTGTACGAGAAATGACCCCATTACGCCATGGATGCACACTTATAACAGAATGGTTAGAACCGACGACCTATGAAGTAATACAAGTGACACTCAAACAGATAGGCGATACTCAGTCACTTGATTTCGGTCAGGTAATTTACGTTACGTGTAAAATAAGCCAATAGTTGCTATTTATATTTGCGTTCTGATGATTGTTATAATGACTGCATTTTATACTAAATAGTTAAATAAGGAATACCCGACGATATTAACCCCTGACAATGTTTGGGTAATTGGAATTACTCAAGAGCCATCTACAAGAGAATATTATTTGGTTTTCTACCATGACATACGTTCAATTTTGGACAAAATTTTAATAGCTAGCGTGTATGCAACGTATATGTCGTATGCTGACTTTGATGAAATTAAAGAGATTGGATCTGGTGGTTATAGAACAGTTTATACTGCCAAATATGAAGGTCATAGTCATCATGAAACAGTTTCTGTGTCAGAAACTGTTGTGCTCAAACGATTCAAGGATTTTGATCAGACGCTGGAACTATTTATTAATGAGGTAAACAATTATGATATTATAAACTAAGTATAACATGGTATTTAAGCTGACTGTGTATTTATTTATCCAAAGTTCAGAAATCATTTCAAGTGTGTAAACAGAAATGAATTATTCCTTTCTATTTATGGGGTGACACAAGAGCCAGAAACAGAAGACTACATGATTGTTATGCAATATGCTAACAATGGTAGTCTTATGTCTTATTTGGATCAAAATATTAACAGATTGACATGGAAGATGAAATTACAATGTTTGAGGGATATTGCACGAGATCTGGATGATATTCACAAAGTAGGCTTAGTGCATTGTAATCTACATGGTGGAAATATTATCATAAATTATGATAATTTACATTATAGGCAATATAGGCCTCCAACACGAGCATTTATATGTGATTTTGGCCCTTCACAATCAGTGAATTCATGTAAATCAAATTCATATTCAGCCATTCATATTCAAGGTGGTTCTCCCTTTGTTGCACCAGAAGTCTTCCATGCCTGCAAATTTAGTCAGAAATCAGACATATATTCTTTTGGTATTATTATGTATTTGATGGCCACAGGTGAACCACCATTTAAAGATAGGCTGTTTGATGCAGGTTTAATATGTGATATTATGAATGGACTACAACCATTGATGCCTGATTCAATACCAGAAGAATACAGAAAGCTTGTTCAGCATTGTTGTGATCCCAATCCTGATGAGCGTCCAGATTCATGGGTACTTTATAATCATATTAACAAATTTATTCATGAGGGGTACTATGTATGGGATGGTATCTATTCACAATGACATAATAATAAGCGTCTTGAGGATGAGAATAAATACTCTAGTATGGTCTTATCTATTACTATTGGAAGAATAGATTATGCTGATATGGGCCATGCTGCAACAAAACCAGACAAAGTGAACATTTGATTATGTGATGTAAATGAGAGGCTGATTATGATGTGGCTGTAAAATTGACCAGTATGACTGATGACATTTTGAAAAGTAATAATGGTGCTCATTCATAAGTTAATTTTAATGCTCACTTTATTATACCAGAATGTGATGGATATAAACCATAATGTGATTAAAATGAACTTGTACTTTTATGGCCCATGTATATTAATTCAACAGTTTAACTCTCCCGCAATATTACAATATGCTTGTGCTTATTTATAGTATTTGCCTGTAGTTGAGCAATAGAGTGGGATGTTAAAACACAGCTTACTATTATGTTCTTCAACGACTCTCAAGTTAATAAATTCCTTATGACTGGTCGAGTCAAAATGGGTGAAACCGGGTTGCAAGATGAGACATTATCTAAAGAAGGACAATATAAATATTGTGCAGCATTAGTATATTAGAACTTCGTTCATTAGTCTTTTTATTACCAATTCTCGGATGCCTAAGTGTTGTTGAATTATAGAAGATGTAACACGCAGTAGTAAGGACATAGACAGCCAAACCTGGTAACATTCCGTAACTTTTCGCGTGGATGGTTCGTTTCTTGAATACTGTGATTGAAACGACACATTTTTTTGTATCCCAAGTATAGACCATTTTTCACATACTATTGTAATGCGGCAAACCGTCGTTCGATTATTATCGAAGTAATCGCGCAATTCCTTATGCGTCCATTTCGCATACCTCCTCTTTTTATAGCATTACAGCATTAGCAAATTAAAGAATTGCTATCACAATATGTGATGTATATTAATGCGTAACAATATTCCTTAATTAAATTAGCATGCTGTGATTAACAATGAAATGGCATAATTGCAATCGATTTGAGCCTTGAATTCTTTATGCTAATACGCGTTATGCATGCAGTGGAAGCATAACGATGTAGTATCACTCTTATAATTAAATTAACGTCTTTGAGTTTTATTACATTCTATTATGAAATAAATAAATCTTGGACAATTCAAACAATATGTTCTAATGTATCATTACGCCCATCCTCAGCTCTCATTCATTGATCGCCACACTCTTCATCCCCCCTCCCCCACCATCAAAAAGTCAAGTTAATCTTTTCAAATCACCCTCCACAGCAGACGATCGCTGACTACCACTTCCATCATCTCTGTAGCTAGTTCTCCTGCTCTCTACTATTTTCTTTCCTTCAGTCCATGATTCTACCTCTTCAATCACCAACTTTAAACCATTTTGTTCTGAATTCCCAGACAGCAGCCCAACCAACCCAAATATAGTACCAAGCGCGGCGAACAATGCTACAGCAATAGTAATGATAATAACAACCCAAGACGGTGGACTAAGAGCACCAGCTTGAATAATTATGGTCATTAAGATGCCCATAAAAACGATAGATGAAGAGATGTAAAAAATCGCATAGTGAAATTTTTGCTTTGATATGGATTTCTCAAGGTCCTTGCGGAAAACCTCGAGCATGTCATCAAATGTGGCAGAATCTGAATCATGCTCGTAATCATACACTCCCTGCTCCCAAACGGTCAACGGAATAACCGAACTTTTACCACCCCCTACGATCGTGAAAGTAGCCTCGACACCAAAATGATCCGTATAACTACAATTCAACCCTGGTATCACTTCCGTAAACACAACTCTGGCGTTGCTACACCAAAACCTTGAAGTCTTTCTATAAAACACGTAATCAATTCTCTGACCATAGTTCTTTGTCTTTTTTGCTTGTTCCAGCGACCCACTCCAAGTGTTTTTGGGCGAGTCTGACGTGTAGCCTTTTTTAATAATTGCCGCGTCGACATCAATATCTTCATCTTCATTTTCTTGAATCGCGGATGAGCTATCTGAAATTATAGGCGCAGTCGACTGTTGGAAATTCCAGGCATCAGTTACTTGTCCGTGTGTAGTGACAAGTTTGTAGAATATGGTGTCGGGTCTGCTGTTAAAGTCGCCGAGCTGGAAAAAAAAGGGCCAAGTCGAGAAAGTGAGTAGTATTACAAAGATAGTAATTATTCAAAAGTGTGATTACAAAGATCAGACTGTCAAAGGGCATTGCCTTTATTGCGCGATCAAAACTGACAAGCAGTACTTACAGCGATGACGTTACGTCCTCGTGCCGCAGATGCTCTCAGTATATTGGCTATCTCCCATCCTTGTGCAATCCTATGACTCAGATATTCGTCCTTTTCTCTTGGTCCGTATCCTGCATGTGTCTACAGATAAGCGCGCGGTTTGTTAGTTTCTTGCTTTCGAAGTTCGGCTATAAATAATTAATGAATACAGCTAGCTCGATCATATTTGCCCATCACAGATGCCGTCAATGAATTAGATCTCAAACCCCCCACCAGGTAACTTGATTAAAAGTATGATTTGGTTGATATTGCTCCAAAAACGTGGAAACCATAAAATGTGACATAAAATCATCTAGGATTTTGACTACATCAAAGCTAGAGAATTTTGGTCGTGCATGATTGATTAATTACGAAATATTAACAAGTTAGCTGAATCCCATCTAACCATCGTTATATATGTTAATGGCTAATCAAACGTCACACCTCATAATCTATATTGCTTCACTTGGAGCATTTTTCTCATCCCCACTTACATGCGTGTTAAACACCTCGGTGAATCCTCCCACCGGATGATCGATGACTATACTCGCGATACCCTTTCCAACATACCAATCACCATGATAAAAATTTATTGCCCGACCATTCAGTCTGTATGGATGGAAGGAGGCTTCGAGGATAGGATATCGCGATAGAATTGCTAGTCCACCACCGAATACTGCGCTATTCACGATCACGGAAAACAAAAAAAGTTTAAGAAATTCACGCTTTTTTAACTATCGCCCCACTTTTATAAATATATAGATATGTCATGCCCAAAAGATATTCTCGTGACTTCATAGTAAACACTAACCTGTGGAAAAACTTTGCATAAGGGAATCTCGCTTTGGTTCTTGAAATGATGAGCTCATAGTCTGCGTATACCCAAACCTCTTGTAACCCGACTATTTCATAAGCTGAAGACGCCAGGGCATCAGCTATTGCTTCCATTCTTTGTGGCCGCAACTTTGATATTACGGCAAGACCCCTAAGGAAATTGTGTAGAAGCGTCTGTGTCTATCTTTGTATTTGACTTGAAAATAGAGGCGGTATATATGAACCTTACCAACAGTTGAGAGACAGCACCGTTAATGTTGTTGTGCTCGAACCACTCATTTTATTTCCAGGTATAATATAAAACACACTTTGTGAGAAATCTAGTTGTTATAGTTTTTGCTTTTCATCAACTAGGAAGGCTAAATTGTGTGGATCAGCTGACTAGAATAGTTTGGATTCTGCGGTATGGTTTAGAGTCGTTTCTATTATGAATAGTAAAGACAGCACTTTCACGGTCAACGGGAATGGTACCTTGGTCAATCGGTGACTTGTTGGACGTAAGATCGTCTTTCTACCAAGTGATGTACTAAATATTTTTCGACGGAGTACAACCCCACATCGATCCAATAAATCTCAAGATGTCGCTTGTTAAAGATGTTATATAGTTCAGTATCATTACGAGTATAATTTTGGATATTAAAGTAATCAACAATTTATACTAATCAATCAGCGCGAAGGAGTATCCCTCGCGCTCCATTTACATAACCACACTGCAATCCCTTGTTTTTGCCTCCCATATTCCGTATATCTCCACATATGTTTTTGAAAGTATGCGATTTGTTCTGTATGATTATTTCATACCGATCTCCTCGGAACGACTATGTCGACATTCCTCCGCATCGATCTTTCTCGAGACAATACCGATCTAGCGTACTATTCCTACATTGTTTTCTTAGGCCGCTAGCTTTGCTTACGCCGAAATCAACATCTGCTTGCGTGAGTTGTTGCGCTGGGTTAATTTTTGCAGTTTTCATTAAACACTGAATGTCCGTCGTTTGGGATTTAATGGTGCTTCAATCGCCATTGCGTTCAGCGAACGACTAGGACATGAAATACGCATTGACTTGATGTTAATGTGACTATTATAATTGGGAGACTCTTTGTTTCTGACGTAGTATGATGAATTCCAGCAACGTCATTTTAGTATCTCCATGCCTGCCTGCAAGAAAAATGATCGAGCGACTCGTATTATCCCGTAGTTTTGTAGGTAATCGTTTTTGTCGTTCACGGAATAAATTCTGCCAACTAATGTCATCTCTCATCTTGTTTAGACTTTTTCATATCCATAAAAAGCCTTTGTACGTAGGATGACTCATTTGACTATTCAGCCACTCTTAATCAATATGATCAAATATGTGTGTCTAATCGTTAATGTAAACTCTATCACTATCGCTATTAGTCAATATCACAAGCGTCTTATTGAATATCCATATTCGGGTCTATGAACTCCGATGTCACTTTTGTTTTACTGTTTTGCCTTAATTGGTCTAGCTTAAATGCAATGTACATCATTCAATAAATTATATGGTTACAACTTGTATGACGCAAGAACCAATAAAATCATAAACACACATGATTAAAATACGCGTCATGATTAAAAAAATTATTAATATGTAGTAGTACAAACAGCCATTCTCACGCTTATGTTCATAAATCAACAGTCAATATTATCCTTGATGTTATCATGTGTAGTGATAAACAAACGTACAGGTATGTACAATTACCAAGTATATACAAATTAAACGTAGCGGTTAATGCATATTGAAGAGCAATGATTCGCATTTAATTTACCAATATTAATATTTCAAAAAAATTTTGTGTACGGGCTTGAGATCTTCCCAAATCAATCTTATTATTATTAGTATACCAACTGTTGGTAATAAGCAGAATTATGACTTTAATTTATAAGATTTATCTCTACCAGAAAATTATTGCACTATTTGCTCTCTGTCTTTTTGGAACCAGGAATTATTAATATGTAGAAATGTATAAAAATTATGGAAAAATTCTGACTAAAAATTAGCATAATTTGTACCTGGAACTTTCAAATTTAATTTTTATTTCCGCTCATTTATTTAGCAGTGTTGCGCGGCAAGAAATTGAAAAGCACAAGTCAATTAAGTTGTAAACGTATGTCAACAAAATAAACGAACAAGGTGACAGAGAGAATGATAATGTTTGATAAGCAGTAATTGGGGCTAATTATAATATTTTTTGTTGCTAGTCTATCAGGTTAATTGTTAACTATTTATATTTTCAGAGATAAACACTATTATGTCGATGCAAGTATTTTCTGCACCTGCAAATTTTCTCGTTATTTTTTTCAGCCACGACCCAGCATCTTTTTTGACACAACCTTTACTCCTTAACTCGCCCTTCGCCTTCTGCAACACTTGTCCCACCTCTTCAATGCTCGCCATCTTTGTTTTTGATTAAAAAGATGTGCTGCGCAAATGTAATTTTATGGGTATATTAGTGGATTAATCAATGACGAATGTATAGAACTTTTAGACCTAATTATTAATATACGAAAACTCGCTAATTAAGAATTCTTTGGTTCCATAGTGGATTTAATGTAAATTACACCCACCTACCAAAGTATTGTCGCTGAACAATCAGTAATGTTCTGGCCCGTAGCGAAATTCAATATTGGGCCGGCCCAGTTCGAAATAAGCACATTTTATTTCGCCTATTATCACATAAACAATGTTAAATGGATGTCACTTATTGGTTGTGATATTAGATGATGTGCCTATTGCGAAACAGCCTGGATTGCGCTACGGCCAAAAATATGAAAAATGGGGAAAAAAGTAAGAATAGTTACTGGTGCGATGAAGCGATGGTATCACACGCATGAAAATGTACGAACGACATGTGTGTAACTTTGATACCGCCACCGCAACCTTGAAACAATAACAGCTAAATATATTATTTGCTTTTTTCAAATACTATCATAGTATGCATGAGCGATGAGAGACGTTAGAAAAAAATTTTTTTGCATGTTTTCTAATTTATTGACAGATTACCAAGACATTTGGCAAGTGAGTGTGGTTTTGTGTGTTTTTTATATAGTCATAATCTAAATTATCAAACGCAATTTATGATACAGACTTTAAAACAATACGAGCAAAATAGTTGTATCACTAAAATAAAGCTTCTAGATGTCGTTAATTATATTAGTAATTTCATATTACATAATAAAATGTTTATCTTGCCTGCTTTTGTTACTGCAGCTTGCCTCATATTAATATATAATAATAATTGCTCAAATTACTTAATAGCTATAACAATTACAATTGAGCATACTTCAGTTATTTTGCAAACATACAAGACGATTGAAAATTTGAAATAAATAAGAAATTGGTTAATTGAGTTTATTTATTAATTATTTTTTTTATTATCTATTTTGTCGTTTTATTCAATTTTTGAAGAGTTAATTTCGTTTCTAATCTGATTAGAAATAACACATCCAATCGAAATTATATTTAGTTGTTCGAAATGTACAACAAAAAAAACTTCTCCTAACAAACTTTGATACTAGACGAATTTCCGGTTTATCTTAATTGTATCTCATTATATATATTAATATCCCCAATCTCATACAATTTTGAATCTCCAATTTATAGTAATTATTAATTGTGACGAAATAACTACGGCGTTGAATTAAAATAAAATTTTTCTATTTTAGTAAACTTTTTGAAAAATTTAGACCTAAGTTTAATTAATAATATGGGTTCGGGAGCATTAGAAAAAGACTCCAATTTTATTTTATTCTACATTAATCGTATTAAGCCATTTTATTTAACATGCAAGGGCAAACCCGATAAATCAAAGACATCGATGCAGTAATTATTCTTCAGATTTCGGATTAGTATTAGCGAGATTGTCCACACTCACTACTACTACCAAAAAGTATTTGTCGATCAATAGTAAAACTCCAAAATCTGTATTGGCGTTATAATGAAATATTTAAACCTTTCATTATTATAAAGCTGCAGTTCGAGTAATATGTTACACATACATTTTTCATATGATTACGTGTAACCTACTGTACATATCGTTATTTCACCGAAGCACAGCTCCGGTATGATAAGCTGTGTAAATCTATCAGTATTTTATTCGAAACTGCAGTCAATCAGCTTCATGGAAAATGGTTTTGAAAGGGTAATGAGTAGGAACCGAACCGCGAACTGTCGGACAAATTCCTCGTCATAACGATGTAAAAATTTGTTTAGTAAATAACGCCAATACAGATTTTCGAAAAATTGGATTTTTCATACGTTTTACTATTGATCGGCGAATGCTTTTTGTAGCGAATGTATAAGCCGAAAACTATATTCGGAGTACGGTAAGTGCCCCATTACTTTTTATTCGCTTATGCTGTAACGTAAGCTTACTAAACTAACAGCTTGTGAATACTGCTAATTTTAAATTAACTTTTGATATGAATATGTCTGTATAAAAACAATATGTGCTTTATCAGGTGGATAATAAATAAATAGTATTACATTATTTTTATCGATAAAGTTTTTAGAAAATCTTCGGTTTACGGTTTATGCAAAGTTTATAGTAATTCGGTAATTTTAATAGACTACAGTGCAAAATTCGAAAAAGGATTAATATTAACGGGGTTGACCTTGTGTATCGCATTATTACACAATAAATTATGTCATTTCTACGCACAAATATTTGTGCGATCCTTGCTTCACGATATGACGCACAGAAAAAATCAGGTCATGTCACAAATCAGGTCACTGGGTAAATCAGGGGACAACAAAATCAACAGGCACAAGAAACAAGAGAAGACGCATTTCATTCCAAAATGATGGGAAGAGACGCACTTGCGACAGATAAACAGTGACAGAAAACGATATTAGGTATATGCGCAATATAATTCGACGCTTAACATGAATCATTAGTGTTAGAAATGTCGAACGTCAAAGAATTTATTAACCGTAAATTACGTAATATTAACTATCTAAATGCTACAACTTTTCCTAAGATACCAACGTGAGATATAACTGACTATATGTAATTATATTCCAAGTAATCAAATGACACTTGATTTTGTAAAGTTTGCCTGTAATGATACGAGTTGCACAGAGTAAATAACAAGGTTCTGGATATATAGCGCACTTATTGTATTAAAACTAAATCTATTGTACTTGTACGTACCAAACTCTCGTATAATATCTTTATAAAATGTGTGGTTTATGTTGTCGAATAATAAAATCAACGTAAAGTGTCAAAGCTAAATTTAATTTGTGTTTGGGAAAATCGTACGCTTGCTCAGATACCAGAGAGCCAAAGTTGCCAAAACTATTCATAAGGAAACATATTTTCCTTAAATTTAAATTTTGTCTATTTTAGTATTAATTTGCAAAAAATAATTTCAAACCATTAGTTATCTAAAATGCAAAAACGGCTTGTATCAAAACCATTTGTCATTTTGATGCAAAATTAGAATTTCAATCTGTGACCACGAGTGTCATTAGAAACTAAGTATTGGATCAAGTTTTTCGAATTTTTAATATATTGGGAAAAATACTTTTAGACAACGATCGATTGAAATAAAATGTTACCAAAATCAGGTTGTATTACTGTTATACAGAAATCGCGTTTTATTGCACATGCCGCTTTCGGACAAAAAAAAAATTTTTTCCCCAATTTGCAGGGCACGTTTCATGATACAATGGTTCTACGTGCATATTATAGGTGCATTGCTCGGATATTAGTCATTGTTGACTGTGGACAAGTCAATTCTTTTCACGGTGCTCTGAACACTACATTGTCATGACGTTTTTGCAACACTTGAACGAATCTGGAAATTCATCAGAGCGATCGCAAGGGGAAAAAATTTTTCCGGACTTTGAAGTCCGTCCGGGAATATCCGTATACTTACACATGTTTTTCTAGTAAACTGCCATTACGCTATGTATTGTTGTCAATACGTTGCGCAGATATCGACAAATATGGTATCTTTTGCTTAATATGCATGATTTAACTATGCCGATAATCGTAATGATTGGGGTGGTTTTTTTTTGACGCAAATGATTGGTCATTTTTAACTATGGAAAGAATCATTTGCTTTCTATTATGATTAAATATCCATAATTATCGACACTTCTTATCAAGATGCCCTGATTGACTCTTTTTTTAGATAATAAAGACAATGACAGCGCAGCAAAAGTTTCAATTTGCGCGCCCTCACTCGAGTTAATTTGAGTAATCAATTTGATGAACCCCCTGAACTCTTCTCGTGCTTATTTCTATTGTTGGTTATTCATTACCTCTATGGTCTAGATTATTTGCAGATCATATAGTAATAGTGTCACCAATGCATTCATGTCACGTAACCTTTCTTTTTTGTAAATCAGAAAATGATATAATAGAGAAAACATCACTGAAAAAACTCTCAACCTTTCTCCGACGATCATACGCTTTGCTTTTACATTCCTTTGTTACTTTGCGAGGTCTTAGTGTGGTTGGTTCTGATATAGCTCTGCAGAGAAGCGTCGTGTCTAATAGAATTAGTTTCCAAAAAATACATATAACGACATATAGGCAAGTATCATACGAGCATACGAGCATACGAGCATACATACAAGCACCACTGTGATTACTAGCTATCCCAAAGTCTGTTGTCAATATCATTGTTCTTGACAAGATACGTTCACTCTTTACAGACACTATAATACTATAATGACAAGAATTTGGAGACAGAGAGAGTCTTTGTCAAGCGCAGAGGATAAAAAACCCTCAACCGGTCCTCGTTTTGGCATCGATTTTGAAGTAGGAAGAACGCTGACACTACGGCCCGATTATATAGTCAGAGGTATATAAGCTATAATTTTGATTATGTTTTGACCGATATTAATTGATCATAGTAAATTACAGGCGTCGTCGTGTTAACAATCCTTGAAGACGAGAATCCCTTATGCGTCTGTGATGTAATGATAAGGTTTAAAGGTGAGTTTAAATTGATGCGTGTTGACGTTGGCAACCGAGAATGTTGTATGTTTTGGGGGGAATGTGTATCTATTGAAGGTTACTAACTGCAAATCACTGTTATCAATTTGTCACAATCGTATATTAATTCTCGCCCCCAGCCGAAGAGTCAGTTTTAGCCAAATTCAAGGACGCAGCAGGTTTGCCACTCCAAGAAAGCATCAAGAGCACGATTTTTGACTGTTCGGAATTCATCTGGAGTGGCGCTCATGAGATTCAGGGAGTGAATATGCAAGGTATGCAAAGAAAAAGTATACCTAATAAGACTATACGATTGAATTGAAACATCACATCAATGTTGACGTATTCTTTGTAATTTTAGGAGGTGATTACTGTCCTTGGGAAGAACTCTCTGCTGGAGTTTATCATTTTCCATTCGCTGTCAAGGTGAGCAATTAGTATCCGGGACAAAAATTTAACTACCGCGACTAGCACGTGTGCATTACTAAACAATGCTTTTTTCGCTCATTCCAGCTTCCTCCTGTAAATTTCCCACCTTCAATAGAGGTATTATTCTTTTAATCCGCATGACCTGTTTATATCACCTATCACATTGGAGGGAGAATTGATTTATTATTTGTTTGCTTACTAATTAACTATGATAATCTCCCAAACAGGGCCCAAAAGGATTTTCGATAAGGTATACTTGGCAACCAGTGTTGAGAACTGCTGGAGGTACTTACATCGAAGGCCCTGCGCTGGTCACACCATTTGTACCCACAACATTTGCGCCCCCTGCTGAAGATTGGGTATACAAAAAAACACTCTACAAAACTAGTAAGGATTTGACCAAAAAAAAGGAACTCATTGACGTGGAGGCGGTTCTTCTCGGAAACGTGTTTGCGCCTGGTTAGTAGTATGGTCAATACGAGCACACACATCGCTCAAACATGATCTTCACCAATCATAACAGATTATGAATACGAGTTTTCGTCCAACATATTACTGACTCTTGAAAAAATTTTCCTTCCTAGGCGACGAACTTTCATTTACTCTCCGTCTAACCAACCACTTCAACGGCCGTATCACTTTCGTTCATTGTTCCCTTCGGAAACATTTGGAAGGCCCATTAGACAAAGACTATCCATGTGAGAATCATGAACGTTCTCTCGTCTCAACCGAACGCCGATGCAATATACCCTCGCAAAAAACTGATGAAATCCGATTCTCCCTCACAATTCCTCGAAAACATCGTCATGTCCCTCCCGCATATACCGGTCGTCATATACGAGTACATTATACATTGCGATGCGTAATTCAAGCTGAAATTGGAAAAGTATTGACAAAGATGCAATGCCATGAAATCATAATCCCGATTACGCTAGCTTCGTATGCGCATATAACCCTGGAGAATTGTGTGCTGCCGACGTATCTGACTCATGAAGAATTAAAGTTGGAGCCTTTTTTCTTTGATCCGTTACAGGATTTCCCACCAGACGATCGCATACATTTTGGGGACGATTATTATATGTACGAGAATAATCTCGTGTTATCGCAAGTGAATGGATATCTGTATGATCATCTGAATGCTTTGGATGGAGAATCGTCAACTCGTTCGCCAAATAGTGGAAGTGGATCGGGCATGTGTAGCGAGTATAGTATCGGTGAATGGAATATTGATAGTTTTACCCTGGCTTCGTCGGTAGGAAGTACTGACAGAGTAGAACAGTCAGCTTTTGCAAGACAAATACTAGGAAATCATATGTGAAATGTGCACGAAAAAAAGAAAGTCTTGGAGGATGATGTTTGTTTTTTCATGAAGGTTTTAACAGCGGATTGATTTCTTTTTTTTTCGTGTTGTTAATTTTAATGATCAACTTTAAAATGATGTAATTATGAAAAAGTATTTTTTTTTGGATTCGATAGATTGCTGGTTTTAGTACATATCATTTGCATTCTTTACACTATACCATACTATACTATTCTTACAATGTATAATTACTTATAATGTCACATTCTTTCTTGTAAAATATCAGATCTGTGAAACAGAAATGTCAATATTTGCCTATATCCCACTCATGCTTTAAATAAAAAATCGTCAATTTGTTGTGGATTTGGATGATTGTAAGCTTTGCTTTTCTTTGCAACAAGGCTAATTCCCTGATTGTAGTATTGTCTTAGACAAAGTATCAATGATCGAATACTCGGTTGGAATTCAAAGTCGCTAATGCGCGTCCGATTTGTACGACACGGGTCGACGTGTGTAGTTTGGAAATAAAGTCTCGATTATTTAACTCGAAGCCAACACATAGAGACGTTAATATACCTCACAGTGCTATAAATTGGATAAAAATAATCTTAGTTATTATTATGGCGGCGTACGTAAAGGTGAATTCTAAAAGAGATCATTTAATATTAATGATGAATTGATTAACCTGAAAACAAATACATACCAACAAGTGTATTATCTGGTGCAAAATCAATTTGTCACTGATACAAAAGATCAGCTCAAGTCATCTAGGGTTTATTACACCATTTTTACAACTTACTATTACTGAGAGAAATACCATTACTGAGCTGATTGTTGACTCCACTTTTAAAAAAAATCAAGAACATATTGAACTTTCACCGTAATAGTCAATAATAATAATGAATACAGTATACCATTGGCATACATACATTTGTTCCATCAGAAAACTTATCAGACAATCATACAATTAACAATAACAGAATTCAAAATCATGAGAGTGAATTTCTTTTTAGCTTTATGTCATGAGAATTGTGTTCCCAACATTTGTCTTGGTTGATAAGGACACTGGACAGATTAATGCAGTGGGGATGAAAGAACAATTGTAAATTGTGCAAATCTGTCTCTGGGCATGTGGTGCATACAATAGAAATGCTACACAAAAGTCTCAGCTATGTACAACTTCTCTAGTATTAGCTACCCTTTATTGTACCTCTAAAAACTTCCCCTCAAGAATACCTCTATATATATAATTGTCCCAAAGCCATTGTAATGCTTCTTTAGCTGTTGATCTATCAAAATGATTTTTGCCATCAGTACTGTTGACTTAGTTTTTGAACTTCCACTAAGGCTGTTCTAATTAGATATCCAACAGACCAGATATTAATATCAACACTTTCATTATGATAGGGTTGGAAATATCAGGAGCATGATTATCACAAGCCAATATTGTGCTAGGAGTACTTGAAGGAGTGTGACATGCATCATCAAAATCAATAATGAACCATTTGTCTTGATCAATGAATTTCAACACATTGTCCCAGTGGAGATCATGATACATATAGCATAATGCTTATTTCATGAAGTGACTGTGGATAATGCTTGATTAAAAAACGCCTCATACTCAGTTATAATAAAACAGAAAAGTCAAAACATACCTTGAGGGGCAGTCAAAACACAATGTAATGCTTTGACTAGTTGTTCCTTAGATATTAGAAGTTGGCTTATTATTATGTCTTATACCCTTTGGTGAAAAGATAGCAAATGGAGTTTCTTTGTGTTGATACCATCCAAGTTATAATGAAAAGAATATTAGAGTTTTCCATTTCACAGTAATAAGTAATAGTAATAGTAATAGTAATAGTAAAGAGTCTTGAGTTTCTGAACAGACCCCACTGATTAATAACATTTTATAATAATGACTGAAGTTTGCAACAGCTTGATTGTTTTACCACTTGACCTGTGGAGGATGATAGACTCATGCTCAATGGAACCTGGAAGGGTTTGATGAAGAGGAATTAACAATTGACCAATGTTTACTCCAATATTGAAAGCCTGTATACATCCATCCAGTGTTTCCAGTAAATAAGTAGCTAAGTCCTTCTGTTCTTGACTTGATTTTCTTCAAAGTATAAATAGCAATATGTAACCATGGTGCCATGCACATAATACCCAAAAATGTAGGGACAATCACCATAGGTCCATGTTAATTTTGAGACCAACTCAACACTGGATTGTCATCACTGTCAGGTTCCCCTCTGGTAAGACAAGCATGATGTACCAGGTATGAAAAATCAGGTCGAAATCTTTTTGTAGATTCAATTGAAGATTCCTGTTGAACATGCAGTTCTGAGTAATAGGTTGAAAATGAGTGCATCCCAGAATGCATGAAATGAGTCTTCTGTGGAACCAAATTCAGGTGGAAAAGGAATTTGTATGAGACATTCTGACCAAAATCACAAGGAGGCATTGAGTGAGCTTATGAAAAATTTATCCAAAAAGCTTGAATCAAGCTTTGACTCAAAGACGATTATAATTTGTTGGATGAATTCTAATTGGTCAATGAACGGCTGTCCAATAAATTCACACAGGATGGAATGAATTCACACACCACAGCTCATTACAGTCATGAGTGAGCGCAAAACGTCCATTCCGACCAACAAGTCAGTAGGATTTATTATCTCGGTCCACGTAAAGTTTATTTATTTAGTGTTCAAGATGAAACAGAACGCGAACAAGTTGATTATAGCATTACGGTCTTACCACAGTAATAATTTCGTAATGCCAGACTAACCTCACAATGCTATTGACTTGAAAAATATGTCTTTAGTACAACAATGTTGTTGGGAAATGTTTAGTCTTAGTAACGTCTTGGTGATACTACAGTGATAATTTTGTAATGTCAGAATAATATCATAACGATAATGTTTTGGGCAGAGTACAGTGACCTTTTCGTAATATGTTTTTTAAACAAGTCATAATATCGCGGCGTTACCCTTATGACAGTCATAACAACATCACAATAATAACATGTCATAATGTGACAATCATTTTTTCAAAATTACTTTTGCGGATGATCCAAAAAAGAAAATTCCGGATTTCCTTCGTTCCTGGATTATGTATTAGTATTAGGGAAAATGTTAGAGTTTCAACTACGTATTCCGCTTCTTATAATTGACGACTAATTCTCACCAGATCTTACACGTATTCTGAGTAACTAGGTCAACATCATGTTAGGTGAAAAAGTTTTAATTCTCTATTACTATTTTTGTATCATACTCATCAAAATTCTGCTTCAGTAGTTTCCGAGGGTGACTGCTTTGATGGGGGAAACGAGATTTTCTGGAGAGATCGATTTTCATTGTCACGCCACCCTTATTATTACATGAATAACGTTGAATAGCCGGTTTAACCTCGCGTTCGTACTTGCGTGATTCTTCATTGGACCTGTGAAATTGACGATCTTCTCTCTGTGTACGACCAAAGTACACTGTAACCCTCCTGTAAATTCGCCGTATTTTTTATAGACATGAGTTTTACGGATCTCCAATAATATTCTGACCCATTTTCTATGTGTACTTGTAGATGCTTTGCTATTGATCGCCATTATTAGCAAATTCGTCTTTTATTACAGCTTCAATGTCTGCAACGTTGTAAACAAGACGATCATAATTTTCCAGTTTCTGCGCGGCTCTGTCCAATTTCACCGGAATCTAATGTATCCATATTTTGTTCAATAGAGATTGATTCCGATCGGTTTTTCTTCGCATGCAGTGAGCAAATATTACACATGAATAATTCTTTCGTATGCTGACCCCGCGTTTCCAACAAAGTCGCTGATTACTCTGGAGCTTTTACAATATTTGTTCCATCCGATGTGATCTTGCCCATAGCTAATGCAAATAAAATTTATTAAAACGGTAATGTTAAACGATTTAACAATTATTATTATGATATTAACAACATAAAATAATGTAAGAACCTTGATTATTATTTTGAGCAGAACATAGTTAATGATGGAATGCACAATTTGGTTTCTGTTGGGGTAAATTTACGTAGTGATATATTTGTAGAAATTGTATCAATTATCAATGTGGTTTGTTGGTTTGCTTTTTTTCCAAGATTGGTTTCTCATCGCCTTTATATAAACTTGCCGTGTTTTACTTTTATTATAAAGACAGATCGTAAAAGCTTCTTTGTTTTGTTTTACAAGATTATTCGTGCACTTTGTGTAACACAATTCACCGGGAAACTCCTTGAGCAATATATCCGTAAATGCTGTAATACGATATTTTTCAATAATTGATCGCATTTGCGCTTACTAATTCCGTTTGGGCAAAGACCGGTTGAAGCTGCCAGTATCCGGAAAGACGTCTTTGCAAAGCTTTGTGGAAGTATTTGGCGGACACAACGGAAAATGTTGGTGCTAAATTTAATTGTGCCAAGCTGACATATCGATGTGCATTTTTTAAAGGTAATATACATACAACTACGAGTGTTTTAATATTTTTCGGTTGGTTTTGGCCGTATGATACGTCCGGATTGTTGACAAATACACATTCTGTTACTACAAGAAACACTGTGCAACGAGGAGGCCATTGCAAAAGGCGTTAATACAGCAAGTGAACATTTTTATATTATATGACTACAAGTTCTCTAATCTAAATATCAATAATACAGATCACCACTTTTTAATATTATATTATACTATATATACTGTTCGTCATCTATCGACGAATATGATAATCTCTTGCCATTATCGACATCTCTGCTCGGAGGTACAGGAAACGCTATTTCTTCAGAGATCACAATACTGTCTTCGCTAGCATTATCATCGTCGTTGTCGCCAGCGTCATCTTCTTGTACACCATCCTGTAGGTAATCTCGCGCGTCTTCTCGCACATGATCATCTGTGCTCGTTGGTGCATCGAGCAGGGAAATTGGGAATGAATCGTCGCTGTTGCTATTGCTATTAGGAGTTTCCGAATCAAGCGTGTCTTGAATTGTAATCACCGGGATGGAATGAGGTGCTACATCGGCTTGAGAATCAATGGAATATCGCTCGAAAGAGCCAGGCGGAGATGATGGACGAACATCTTCAGCAAGAGGTGTATCTTTATCTACGGATACCTTTTCGAGTGTAAACGACGCCGGGTCGAGATTAAATCCTGAAGAACACAAGTTTATTGTACTGCAGTCGGATTTTCTCTTTTCGTTGTAGTCTTCAGCGCGCTCCCGACGACGACGTCTTCTTTTGTAAAGCAATAATCCTATCAATCCTAATGAAATCACTGTAACTATTAATATCAATGTGATAATTGTCGAGTTACTGCCGCCGCTTTTTGCTCCCCCTTCGACCGTTGAAGGCTGGTCAACGGGATTAGGAGGACTGTTAACGCTGGGTGATCCCCCAGATGACACGCCGATTGATGAGACTGAAGTATTATTACCGTTGTTGCCATCAGTATTTGTAGGAATAGGTGAGTCGCCATTACTGCTATTAGTGGATGAAGATGACCCAGAATTGTCGGGATTTCCATCTGGTTTAGGATCTGTTGGGTCTTTTGGAGGTGAATTATTATTACCTCCATTTTTAGGTGTTGGCTGCGGTTTATTATTTCCCGTACCAGCTCCACCTGATGTTGGGGTTGGGTTTGGTGTCGGTTGTGCTGCTGGTGCTGGTGTGGGTTTGGGCGATGCTGAAGGTGGAGGTATATCTCCACCTCCACCTGGTTTTGGCGGTGGAGGTGGTGGAGGAGGTGGTGGAGGTTTAGGTTTTGGTTCACCATTACCATAACCATAACCATAACCATAATTATTGTCATTCTTCCCGTTATCGCCGTTGCCGTTACCACCACCATCCCCTCTTCTATTAATGGACCAACGTCGAAATGAACGGCTCTTCGAATGCACACTCCATTTTGACATTGGCGGCATTTTCCATTTAAGCAAATGTACCGCAGACACGAATCTTGTCAAAAAATGCTAACTCACGGTTACCAGAGCGTGAGTAGAAGGCTAGGCGAATATACTTCGCAGCCTCTAGACGGAAAAAAACGAGTGTAAAAGGAATGAATGGCAGGAATAATAGTAATTCCAAAAATTGACAGAAAGTGAAAAGGGGAGGGGGGACGAAAACGAAATTGAAAAGTTCGATTATGGCTCCTGAGCAATTTTTATTCAAACTGCAAGTGTACTAGTGACGCCTACCTTCCCGGTTAATGTACTACGCACACAAAATATCCTTGGACAAGGATTGCCCAGAGCTTAGCGAACCGTTTTTCTCCTGCATAAGCATGCATTCGTATTAGTGTAATTAATTAGTCATTTCATGGCTTTGATATTGAATAATGCATGTCTCGCTAACAACCAGCCACGATGACTTTGTACTCGATTCTTTGTAACTTTCTTAAGGTGATTTTTAATTACGCCTGTTATGGACAATCGAAGATACACAAACGGTTATTTATAGGTTTCCGCAATTGAGTGGTTAGCATTAGCCAACCAAATAATTTGTGATACCCAAGGAGGTTTAAACCGCTATCGCTATTACTATAGATTATGTATATAACTAATAAATTAAATTATATAAAACAATGGCGAGTTAAAGTTCTTGCGAACGGCAACAAGTGGGGAGAGAGTGGTAAAAATTTGTTTTGGATGGGTTGGATATATGCATTAATAAAATCAATAATCTGTAATAACACTCGAGACTTGATATTAATTATCAATTATCACAAATATTTTAATTTGAGATCGACGAATTGATGACAGTTTTGATTATGCTTTATGTGCTTTTAATGCTGCGCAACACATCAAAATTCGAATTGTTCTTGCAGAAAAAAAACCATAAAGAACAGGGACCACTCTAAAAAAATGATAGCATAATATATAACTCATAGAACAAGGTGAAAAAGACAAAGTGTTTAAAGACTATTATTTATTGTATGCGACCAATGTTTTTCTACCTGGACAATTGCTTTTAAGGAAAAGAATCCAACAATCGTAAGACGGCTTTCGTGCATGATCTGATCCAATCAATGTGTGACATACTTAGTTTTAGTTGCATGGCTTTACTAATTTGTCAAGGTAAAAATTCTAATTTTGACGTATTTGGTTGTGAATTACTTTTTAAGGAAAACGAAGGGTTGGGATGTAGAATTCGATTGTTTGTTCGTGTGTTTTGTTTGTTTGTTTGCTGTGGTACCTATTACACCAAACATCTATTCGTCTGCTTTTATTAGAAGATTCTGCCAAAATATTATTACAATTTATCAATACCCATATTAATTCTTTCGGCTGTTATGTGTCCATCTGAATATTAAAAATCTTGTTCCACATTAATAGTGCATTTCTCCATCAAATGGAGGCTCTATCTACACCAATCTGTTTAAGAATAATCCGTCGGCTTCGAACTCATTTTTCTCTGGCCAGCACGGCACACCACCAGGTTGATCAAAGTTAGTGGTATTTCAGAAGACCAAAGGTCTCTCAATTCCGTTTCAGCAAGTTGATTTACGATAGATAATTTTGTGCCGACAGAATACATATTCTTTTATTGTTAGAACATGCTTATTCGTTAATGACGCTGACGCCAACAAAATTTAATTACCTATTCCAAACAGTTTATAAAAGTATACTGTAAAAGAGAATTTACGCAATAATTTGCTTTGTAATCTAGGTGACGTTGACGGTACATAATTTTCAATTTTCGGATAATCCCGCAACATATGAAATTACAAGTGGATGGCTAGATAATCCGATAATCGGTTCCATATTTTATAATGCAATTTATAATGTTGCCTCTATTGGTCGTAATGGTAGTAAATACCATGCCCAAAAGTTGTGTTTTTATTACACATCACTATTCAGCCTTCTAAATAGAGATCCAATTAATAGTGAAAATGATAACATGGATGTATCACTATTTATGAAAAGAAATTTATCAAGATCTGGGATTCGGTATCTAAAGATGAAGAAAGCTGGCAGTATTCTCCCACAACCCACTGTTCAAATTTATAAGTGTTTGACCATAACAAGAAGCGTTCTAATAATCGTTACAAAGCCGTCTTGCTATAAAAGTACATGAATAGACTACAATATAGTATCTACAAACTAATAAATAATATACGAGTAGTCGTCCATCTCACTCTTGAGCGATATATATCATAAAATCCCGTGACCAATATCGGAAAATATCAAATATAATATTAACTTTATTTGACACAATCAATTGTCAATTTTGAGTTGTTGTTTCTCTAGTTGCTGCAATGTAAAGGCCGGGTAGGATAATATGTAAATAGAAGCGTGGGTCGAAGACGAAGAGAGAGGGATAAAGTATGAAAACTTGCCTGCCAGATTCCAAGCCTTTTTATATAGTAAAAAAGACAAGATTTCCCCCCGTCCCACACTAGTTACCACCATTATTGCTACTGAAAATATTACTAGAAAGCTATTTTTGCTGCTTTGTTAACGATAACGACATTAGATGGGGCTAAAACTGATTTCTCCTGACAAAACATTTTCGTGAGGAAAATCGATCTCTTTTCTTCTTTCGTTAAATAGAGCGGTAAATTTGACCCCAAAAATTTCTATTCACTGAAATGATCAGATCTGTAGCTTGCTGCAGATTCTCGCAATGGAGTTAGTTCGTTGACATGCCTATATTTGCCATTGTTTTACGTTAAACTTGGACCGTTACGCGTCAAGGCTATGCGGCAATATTATGAAACGACTAGCAATAACTATTTGAGGGATATGAGTGGACTGATGGTTCATACACTTGCATAACCAGTGGAATAAACTAAAATTATAGTTTTTGCAGAATTCTCTTCAAGCGGACGAGTTTTGAGCAGGTATGGGCTCTGCTTTTTATCGGATCCTTTTGCAGTTTAGTCACAGAGTGGCTATCGCGTTTTTAAATACCATCATCGAACGTTCAAATGAAGGCAATTACGATGAGTTGAGCAAGATAATCTTACCCTATTACCGATTGTATGAAAAAAAAATTGAAGCACGTAAACAATGTTAAAAATTCAACCTAGTACTGAAGTCCAGCGAACAGAACTCGAATGCAGCTATGTACGTGTACTTATTCAAAAATAAACCCGTGACCCAGTTTTATAAACTTTAAATAATGTATTTTTATATTTCTTACATATTTAAATGGCAAAGACAGCTAACAGTAAACGTGCATATCGACATACATAGAAGCATACTGTATATGTATAGCATTTAATTTATTAATTTAACTGGAAGAGAAGTAAAATTTTGAATAAACTTGTATAAACTGTAAATAAAGAATGTTAATATTGTATATTAACTTTGTTTATGTGGAACACGCGTAGTAGAATATTTACACCCTTTTCGAGACACGATAATAATAAGGTTTTAGAAAAATGGTATTTCACGCGTTGTCATCAAGAGTGATTGTTCATCAGATAAACAATAGAGTCGTGATGTAGTCTGCTACAATTTATTAACAACATAAGTATGTCACAGGTAGAAATAAACAATTTCAGCCTAAATTAAGCTGCAGACTTGTTTCTGAAATCTGTCAGAAATGCATGTTAAAAGTATTCCGGTCATTTATTATAGGTCGTCCGGTATTGACAACTCCCGGTTCTATTTTATCCCTAAAGTTGACACATTTCAGATAGTCTTATTCTCAACTGATTTATGGATGCCATCTTACTGAAATCCGTATTGCATAATTACACATTACACTTTTCAATTTTCCTCGAGTACTCATGCCACCTATATATATGTAACATTTCAGACAGAAAATTAGGCAGAAATGTGTCATTTTGAATTAAAAAATACTATTGTAATCTCAATCTGTGTAACATGTCAGCCAGGCATGTTTCAAAATTAGGCGAAAATGTGTCGTTTAGAATTAAAAAATACAATGTAATCTCAATATATGTAACATGTCAACCAAGTACATTTTCAAAATTGTGTCATGTTGGAATTAGAAAACACTGATGTTATCTCTACATACGTAAAATTTCAACCAGGCATGTTTTCAAATTAGACAAAAATGTTTCGTTTTTGAATTAAAATCACTAATGTTATCTCTATATTAGAAATTACAAAAATTTTTATTAAAATAAGCATTAATATTAACATCAATGCCAACCACAATTTATACCGTTTTAGACAGACTTATAGAAATTTGCCCTATCGTTATTTATAGTATTCATCTGTCATAATAATAAGAGTTCCGATCAGCGCAATAGTGGCAAACGTGTTGTTTAATATTAATATAAGCATAGAATGTGAGTCTATGCAACAGATTCAATTCCCAGTGGTACAAAAGTTCCTGCTTTGCTCACGTGTCCAGATAGAGAATTTGTGGGCAGAGCACATTGTAATTTTTCCAGGATGTCGGGTCGTGCCTACAGAAGAGCATTAAAAGATAAGTGGATCCAGTAATCTGGATTTTGAGGGATTGGATACTGAACGAAACGAACTAACCAAAAATTTGTTTGATTTGGTAATGTCTCTGTGGTGGCCTTTCGTGTTAGTGTGTACCGTACGAAGGAAGTAATATTAACATACAGTGACACCTCCATAAGTGCAACCCCCATAAGTGCAATCCCACTCTAAATGCAACACTTTGTTCGGTCCCAAGCATGGGACCTAGTGAGTAAATGCAACCCCCCGTTTTCTGCAATTGCAACGGATTTTGCGGTCCCGTTCTAATAGATTTATTTCCCTAAGTGCAACTCACGTGATTCCCGTAATGTTATTTGTTGAGGAAAAATGATCAATACAATACGCCTGGGATAATGTTACATCTGATGTCATTTCTAATTGCTGGAAAGCTACCAAAATTCTTCCGGACGATAACGATGATGATAACTCAATCGATGAAACTCAAAAGTTGAATAATGAATTGTCTGAGATTGAATTGTTCGATGCAATGACAATAAATGAATATTTGTCTTTTTCAGCGGAAGATATTGTTTTTGAGCTTCCCGAAAATGATGATATTATTTATTTATTTAATGAAAAACACGATGAAGAAACTGACGATGATAGTAATGAAACCTCAGTAGTGAGTGCTCATGAGGCACTGAAAAGTTTAGAAAACGTAAAGGCATTTCTAATTCAACAAGAGGGGACCAGCAGCTATTTAAAAGCTGTTAATAGTTTGGAGAAATTTATTCGTAAATTCGATGAGACAAAGTAGCATAACACAATTTTTAGTTAATGATTAGGAATATGTATAGTAAACTTTTTCCGTAGAGTTGGCTGGAAAGTATAATAAAGGAAAATCTGTATATTATTAAAAAGTCTTTCCTAATAAGGAAACCCTCCATAAATGCAAAACCCCCATAAATGCAACGCAACGTTCGGTCCCGAGGTGTTGCATTTAGGGAGGTGTCACTGTATTCGTTATTACGTTAATGGTTTTTAACATGTCAATAATATGGAAGATAAGCATGAAATGTATTTTTGGGTTTTCTTGTAGTGATATTGTTATATGATAAGTTTTTGTGTCAGCCATACTTTAGCAGTTGATGTTGTAGTTGGGTAATAATACTATCATTATGATAGCTTGTTTATTCAGCTTTGTCAACGTACACTTTTTCCATGTTTAGCAATATAAATAATGTATTTTTAGATATTATATAGAGTTTTTCGTGTATACTTTGTAAGAAAAAGCATTTAGCATACCCGAATAGAGTTAGCGCTCTTCGGTTTTTGGAATATCCCATTTGGTCTGTTAAACTACGACAGTCGCAAACAGGTTCATATTTGCAGATCAGCCTAAGCTAAGTATGAAGATAAACAGAAGAGAGACATTCTCGTTGCATACGGAACATGATCGATACGTGCAGGTATTGATGCAAGCCTATAGCTGAATCGGCTATCGGCAGCTGTGCAAACCGCAATTTTTGTTGAATTATTTCGGTGTGCCATTAGAGGTATTTGAGTGTAGGAGAATTTGAAAGAATATCTAATGGTTTTATCTTCAACTATCTATTTTGTTGAATGAGAATATATATATTAATATTAAGCGCAAGCAGTATGAGCATGGAATACACGGAAATTGGGCAAAGTCATCCGAAAAATTTTACCTCTATACCAATTTCCCGTGTCTTTCAGAAAGTATTATTAGAGTACAGAAAATGCGAAGAAATTATTTACAGACTTTTCTGTATTTTAATATATGCCTTGCAGTCTCTAGCGCACCATACCTTACTAATTGAAAAATAATCGAAAAGACCAAGGAGAGTTGGTATCAACGCCTGGGATTTAAACGTTACTTATGATTTCAATGGCATGAATGCAAGCACTTATATCGAGCAGTACAGTAGACAGTGTGTGCTTGCAAAGGAGCATACACTGATAAAGCCGCTGTGGTTTGTAGAAGGATGTGAGAGTTGATGTCACAAAGCTAATATTAGTTGCAAAAGTAGAGTTATTTGTTAGTGTGTTACATATCGTATCTAAACCTACACTAGATCCGTTTGTATAACCTGAAGTATGTCGTGCTCTGCAAACTCCCTACTTATTCGTTCATATACAGTACATAAGTTACGTACGACTTAATGTAAACAGCAGTCTTGTAGTTACCTACAATGTCGCAACAACCGTTTCAAACCTGGCAGAGTCACTATAAACAACGACAGGAATCGGCACAACAGCAGCAGCATCGGCATACGGTTAATCCTGCCACATCTACGACTGATCGAGCATACTACTGGGATGGCTCAAAGTATGTGTATTATAAAGATTTGCAAGCGGGATCACAGCCTCGACAAGACCAGTCATCGCTTAGTCATTCACAAACAACTATGTTTACCGCCGTCAATGGCCTGCCAACCTATTCTTCTTCACAATTGGCAAACCAGCAACAATCGCAGACTTATATAGACGATTCCAATCTGGCCGTACATCAACATCTACTTACAAATTCTATTCAGCAACAGAACGACAGCGCTCTGTCTGCTCGACAAGGCTTGATTACTCATCGGGAACAACATCAACAACAGTGGTTGTCGCAGTACCCGTATTCGAGACACCGTGAAGTACAAACACCAAGCGAATTGATCACGCCGATGCAATCTGAACATCAATTAGATCGACAAAACTCGGTTCAAGACATGCTTGGAGTTGTTCCGGTCGAGTCATCGGAGAATGTCCAATCACAGGTTTGTAAATTTCAGTTTGCTGTAAGATAACCGTACCAAGCTCACGCTTTTTGCATACTATTACGACATTACAGGTCTATCCACAAACAGAAATTATTTCCCATCCATCTCAAGGAAGCGTCCAAAACAATTTTAATCAATCGGGAAACGGGTTTCCAGACCAGTCTTCTTCCCAGATGGAAACTGATGATCAAGTGATCAGTCGCCAGCAGGACGAATCTAACATTGTTTATAATAAAGAATGGATAGAGAGAAGTATTAAAGAAGGTTCTATTCATTGTTACTCAGAAAGCGATATTAAATTGGGACGTATACCTATCGCTACTGGTTCATATGGAGCAGTATTTAAAGCGATAGTGAAGCACACTGGAGTGCCTGTTGCGGTGAAAACTTTGGTTCGGCGTCCGGGTGATTGCGAGGAAAAACTGTACAAGAAATTTTGCAAAGAGGTAGGTTATTATCTGTTATTTTTTTGCTTAGTATTGTACGTTTTTTCGTTGTTATCGATTTGATAGCTAATGGTTTGCATGGATTATATACTAGTTGAAAAACCACAAGAAAGTGAGCGGTCATCCGAATATTATCCGATTTTTAGGTGTCTGTAAGTATACTCATGTATTGTAATTTACCTTAATACGTTCCGGCGGCGCATTATTAATGATTTATTCCATGTATTTTTTGATCTAAAGACGAAGATGACGGTTATCATATGATGTTCGAGTTTGCAAATGGCGGGACTTTGCGCATCCACTTAATGCGACATTTTCGTAGTTTAACATGGGAGGACAAGTACAAACTGAGTCTGGATATTACAAACGGATTGAGATACATGCACAAACTTGATATCATCCACAAAGACTTGGTAAATTGTGATTTTACATTATTTATTATTGTGCTTATGATTATATTGATTGCAAACTAATTATTATTTATCCTCCTACCAGTCAGCTTTCAATGTTCTTATGAAATCAGGTATTGCAAAAATTACTGATTTTGGTCTATCTGGACAGATGATGTCCTCATCATTAGGGGAAGGCACTGCAGCATACAGAGATCCCTTATCATTCAGAAATCAACCATATAAACGTGGAAAGAAATCTGACATTTTTAGCCTTGGAGTGTTATTCTGGGAGATCTCTAGCGAGCAGATTCCTTGTAAAAAATGGACCAATGTGGCAAAATGTAGAGAAGAAGGCTATCGTGATTCCCCCCTTCCAGAAACACCAGATGCATATGTTCAGCTATATTCAGCATGTTGGAGTGAGAATGCTGAAGAACGACCATCTTGTACAGAAATACACAAACAATTACAACTGTTATCTGATGACAGAAATCAGCATTTACCAGGTAGAACATTAGATCTTTCTTCAATGCTAATAGATGCAGGAGAAACAACACTAATAGACATTTTAAAAGCAAACTCTTCCATAAATTCTTTGATACTATGATTGGAGATGTAGGAGCAACAGCATTGGCAAAGGCTCTAAAAATCAAATTCATCTCTGACTTCTTTGTATCTTGGTTCTAATCAGATTGGAGATGCAGGTGCAACAGCATTGGCAAAAGCTCTAAAATCAAATTCATCTCTGACTTCTTTGTATCTTGGTTCTAATCAGATTGGAGATGCAGGTACAACAGCATTGGCAAAAGCTCTAGAATCAAATTCAGCTCTTACTTCTTTGTATCTGTGGAATAATCAGATTGGAGATGCAGGTGCAACAGCATTGGCAAAAGCTCTAGAATCAAATTCACTTCTGACTTCTTTGGATCTTGATTCTAATCAGATTGGACATGCAGGAGCAACAGCATTGGGAAAGGCTCTAGAATCAAATTCATCTCTGATTTCTTTGGATCTTGGTTCTAATCAAATTGGACATGCAGGAGCAACAACATTGGCAAAGGCTCTAAAATCAAATTCATCTCTGACTTCTTTGTATCTTGGTTCTAATCAGATTGGACATGCAGGAGCAACAGCATTGGCAAAGGCTCTGGAATCAAATTCAGCTCTGACTTCTTTGAACCTTTATAATAATCAGATTGGAGATGCAGGAGCAACAGCATTGGCAAAGGCTCTAGAATCAAATTCTTCTCTTACTTCTTTGAATCTTAGGTATAACAAGATTGGAGATGCAGGAACAACAGCATTAGCAAATGCTCTAGACTTAAACTCATCTCTGACTTCTTTGTATCTGTTGGATAATCAGATTGGAGATGCAGGAGCAACAGCATTGGCAAAAGCTCTAGAATCAAATTCATTTCTGACTTCTTTGAGCCTTTATAATAATCAGATTGGAGATGCAGGAGCAACAGCATTGGCAAAGGCTCTAAGATCAAATTCATCTCTTACTTTTTTGAATCTTAGGTATAACAAGATTGGAGATGCAGGAACAACAGCATTAGCAAATGCTCTAGAATCAAATTCATCTTTGATAATCAGTTTGGAGAAGAGCATTGGCAAAGGCTCTAGAATCAAATTTGTCTCTGACTTTTTTGAATAATTTATATCTTGATTCTAGTTAGATTGGAGTGACAGCATTGACAAAGGCTCTAGTACTAAATCAAAGCCATAATTAGATTAGAGTGCAGGAACAACAGAATAAGAATTGGTAAAAGTCTAGAATCAAATTCATCTCTGACTTTTTTGAATCTATGGAATAATCAAATTGGGGTAGATGCAGGAGCCAACAACTTTGAAGGTACTAGAATCTAATTTTATTTATATTATTATTACTAGCCTGAATCTTAAAGGGTGTTTTAATCATTATCAATACAACAAATACTACTATTGATTTTAATAAATTACAGTTACACACACCCTTCATATATCATATTCTATACATGTACACATACTGACCAAAAGTATTGGTCACTCCTTGAAATTTACTAATAAGATATATGGAAAATCTTTTTTTTTCTAAAGCCTTAATTGCACGTATTTACTATGTAAATTACAATGATTTTGGTACCGTTGTGAAGCTAATTGATTGTATTTTTCGAAAAAAA